AAATAACTTATTGAAACTAATGCTTGGATATTGAAAGCTAGTGAGCTGAAAGTGTCATTTAAATAAACTAATGTTGTTTAATTCAGTGTAAATGTCTTTGGAACTAGTTGGAATTTTTAATCGCCCAATTACAGTATATGTTTTACACTTTCCTGATAAAAGATCTGTTCGTTAGTAACTGTAGTAGAGTATTTATGTGTCATAGAGCCCAGCTATACCTGCATATGATTTCCATTTTCTAAGTGTCCATAATGGTACAGCAGAGAGATTTACTGATAGTTTCCTATTTTCTACCATCTTTGAAATAGACAACAGAACGTGATGCATTTTGGTAGCTGTTTATTCTTTAGGAACTCTAAATGTGTGAAAACATATTTTTTAAAAAAGCAATAGAGAGCAAAGGAAAAAGATATATAGGAATAGGGAGGAAAGGTCTTCACTGGTTAAGCATACTTGTGAATATTTTGATTAGAAAATTGTCTTCTAACTAAAATTGAACTTCTTACTAAAACTCCCTTCTGGTTTTGATGAAATGTAACAGCAAATTGCTTTCAGATATACTTATACCCAGGGATGAAATGTTTTGGAATTATTCACATACATTCTGTGGAGTAAAAGGTTCTGGCTTTTTTTATATGAAAAAGGCTTCTTTTATCAAATAGGGTTTATAAAACTTTCTCCCTCTCTTTTTCAGTTTTCTAAATCTATTTTTACTTTGAAATTCAAAATATTGAGTTTTCCTTTTATGAAGGGCTAGCATTTGCAAGGCTGTTAATTATGGTGGATTTTATCTTTAGCATGCAAATATATCTCAGCCATTACACTATCTGTTTTTGTAACCCTGGAATGTTTTTAATCAGAATCTTCATGGAACAATGGATTTAAATTTGTACTCTATAAAATTCAGCAAATTCTCTGCTATTAAAGTAGAAGATTAGAGAATAGCAAAGTAAATTTCATTTACTTTTTTTTTGCCCTTCACCTGAAAACTCTAATTTTTTCTTCCTTATTTTTTATAATCTGGTTTTAATCCTTACCTCTTATTTGAAGAAAAAGGGCAATTTTTGAGATGTGTGTTGTTTGTCATTTGTCAAATATATTATGAAGTTCTTATAATAAAACACAAAACTTATTTATCCTAGAGACCTAAAAGTTTACAGGAAGTACATATTATTTTGTCTACTGAAGACAAAAAATAGACTTTTTAAGTATTTTAAAATTTACTGGTTGACATCTCTCAGTGGTAGAATATTTCCCTGCATGAGAATCTGTCTCTTTGAATGAAGAAGGCAATTACCTTGTGCCTTAGTGGATTGCTAGACAGTGCCTTAAAAACCAATTAGCTGCTGAGTCAATGTAATGACCATATAAGTTTTGTTTCAAATACTTTTTTTTTGGAACAAGTTAGATTAGAAATAAATAGATAAATACAGAAGAGCATAGTTCAGCTTTCTGTTGCTTATGTTATAAATGAAATGGATTGCCATGTGAAAGTAAGTCATGGCACATTGCAATATGGAATAATATATGCAGCATTGCTACATTATATTTAAGTTACTATTTTGCATATAAAGTTAAATATTATTTCATCATGAATTCTTTTCATTTTATAAATTTTTGAGCATATATTTTCTAAAAAAATAAATAGCCTCACTCATTATGTCTTATTGTATTGTATTTTAGGAGGAATAGTTATTAATGAAATTAATTGCAGATTCAACACAAACCAAGTAACAATAAAATATATTTGAATGTCATTAGAACAATTAGGGATCATTATAAGTATTCTAGGTTCTGAGACTTTAAAATAAGAAATGAATTTTTGAATTCATTATTTAATTTTAAAAATTCTAAATATGTGAAGAAGCTTTTTAGTTATGATAAGTGATAGAATTTGGCCATATTTGTGGTTAATATTGACATTTCAGAAATCTTAGTACTGAATAGTACAGTTTTAAAAAAGCTTTCATTGAACAAATAGTTGGAAATGTAACTGTAAAATTGGAGATTTTATTAATAAAATGTCCATGAGGAGGGTATAAACATATCTATAATTTCAGTCACTAATGAACTCCAATTATGTAATGTTGCCCTGAGTAGTCATTAAATATTTGCAGATTGAATGAATGAATAATTGCTGATTGCTTATTTTTAAGAAGCGGAAATTGTATTTACAAAAAGTAATTGCATGATCTGGTTTTGCATGACTGTTAGAAGAAAAATACTATACTAGACACTAAGAATTTTTATTTTTTCTCATCATCACATTATGTTGAGAAATCTTTTACAAACTGAAATGATGTTTCATTGACCTAGATTTGAAGAAAGTCCTTTAATCAATAGTATTCCATCTATAGCTTGTTTTTATTATATTTCATTTATGACATTTTAAACTACTCAAAATCCAACTACAAGAATGGATCACTAAGAATGGATGTCACTAAGCCATCAATTCATAAAGTTGTAATCAATAAATGTAACAGTGAAATTGTTAAAGTAGCCTTTGCTATGCTTAGGGCTTTTGAAGACAGTAACCCTTTCTTAAGACCTAGATAAATAATCCAGGTGCCAAATCCTTATTTTATTCATAGAATTTATTTGTTTTCTTCTAGGGTAAATCAGCCCCTTAGGAGCTGACAGCCTGGTAGAAGAGGGATATGTGAAAAATTAATACAGTCAGAGAAGAGCAGAGGAGTTTAGTGAAAATACACGAGTAGAGAGAAAGATACAATTAACCATACCAAAGAAAGTAAAGGAAGACTTCAAAAAAAGGCCGCACACTAGTCATCTTAAAATAACTGAATATTATTAATAATAATGTAAAATTATTATTAATTTCAATGGCTAACAATAAAGAATGATTAAGAAACTATGGACCATTTTGACAGTCGTCAAGAAAGCCTAAAAAATAAGGTCTTCCAAAAATTTTGATGATTAGGAAAACATAGATGATATTATATTTAGTGTAAAGGATTCAATTCACAATTCTCTATTCAGTAAAATTTCAATTATATAAAATAAATACATATGCAGAAAAACAAGTAAAATTCACTGATCTGAGTGATGTATTATGAGTGATTTTAATTTTCTTATTTATGTATTTCATAAATAGTTTAAGCTTAAGTTTGTCTTTAATATGAACAAAATGACTTCTGCTTTTTGGAGGGGGAGACTCATGATTAACACAGGTCAGAGAAGAGATTTTTCCTTTTGTGTGAGAGAGGAAAAGGACAGAAACTTGGGGAATAATTCACTTTAGAGAACTAGAAAGTGAAGCCATAAATTAAAAAGAGAAAAGCAGACCAAGAATAAGCAACATACAGTGTCACATCCCAGGGAAAGGATTGTTCACAATATCAAGTGCTACAGTGAGTTCAAGAGCAACAAAGATTGAGAAAGCCCATTGCGTGAAGGGACGAAGAGGTCAGAGGGTGAACCCTGAGACTGTCGAAGAAAATGTGGTATTGTAATAACAGATTTGGAATCAGGAAAGAACAAAATTTAAGAAATTTGACTTAACCTCCTAGAAATATTTTCTTTTGATCTGATGTTCATTAAAAAAATGTTTGTAATACATATAAATGCCGAAGTATTACCAAAATTCAGTAAAAATGAATTGCTGTATATGATACATATATAGCCTATAAATTGTCTAAATATGTATATTCTATTTATATGTAAATATACTAATGGGCTTCCTAGGTGGCACTAATGGTAAAGCATCTACCTGCCAATATAAATGTATATGCGTATGTATATGTGTACATATTTTTTAATTCAGATGAAAAAATGGAACTCATGCCAGGTATTTCAGCAGATGGGATTAGTATAATGAGTCAAACAGCTGTAGACAGTGACACAGAGGTTAGAAAGCTGCTTCCACCCCCAGGGCTGTACCGAACTAAGGAGAAGCTAGTATTATACAAAGTCAGGAGCTAGTCCTTAGCAGGAACGAAAATAAAGGAAATGAGACCCCTGCTGAGGACACCCCGTGAAGCAGAAAAGGGGAGAATCCTTTGACTTCTCCCTTCCTCCCACCTTCAGTGTCCCACCCTGACCAAGTCACACAAAAGCCAGCGCTTGAGCCTGGACTGTGTGATTCACAGGAATCAGCTCTCTGGGATGCAGAGCAGAAGTGAGAGAAGGGGGTGGGAAGTGTACTTGAGGATATTTGTACAGGTAGAGAGGAGGCTGAGAAACAGCATTTTTAATGGACTAAAATATTTACCAAAACACCCTATGGAATATACTATTTTGCGTCTTTCATAACTAGATTGGTAAAATCTGTCTTACTTTGATCGCAGAAGTATGGAGTAGATAAAGTTAGAGGGATATTTTCAACTTGCAGATTTTAGTGTATCATAAAAATACTTCAGTTGTGTTTAAATGCACTTTCCTGCAGTGGTTTTCACATGAAATATTCACATAATGGATTGACAGAGTCCACAGAGTATTACCAAAAATATTTGTAGTACTTACAGATTTAAAATTCAAGATTTTGCCTCAGAAGCAGCTTCAAACTTAATTTTACGCATATAAGTTTTTTCAACCTATAACATGCTTTCTGTAGAGGAAAAGGCTTATAAAATTTAATATTCAACAATAATGTCTTTTGTGGAAGAGTTATAGTTATCTCTAAAACATGTTCTACATCTCTTCAGTGTTAGAACGTATTTCTCTTACTGATATTGAACTTCGTAAAATGTATTCCCAACATAGGTGTTCTCACTTTTATACAAAGTCCAGGCTTAAATATTAATGAACCCACAATGCTTAAAAGCCAGAATCTTCTTATTGTTTTCACAGTTGCTTTGTTTTTACTCCCAGTCTTGCACCATGTTTAGGGAGGAGCACAATTAATTTTAATAGTCTTTTTGGAGAAAAAAGCAAGAAAATATCACTCAGGAAGCCTATCACCTTTGCTTCTTGACATGACTTGAATTAAACATATCTGAGAGCTCACATTTCTATTTAAAAATTGAATATATTTTTCATTGCAGACGTTTAGAACAAAACTCAATCAAGGTCATCCCTCCTGGAGCTTTCTCACCATATAAAAAGCTTAGAAGAATGTGAGTGAATAATATTCTGAAATCAATGAAATTTTAAAAAATTATACAGGTCATGAACATGCAAAGCCATCCATTTAAGTATGAATATTTAAGTGTTTGACAGCTTAAATATTAAGCGATGTGACTATCTGGTTGCTAGTTCTATAATAGTGTAATGTTAAAAGCTAAAATATTAATTTATTAAGTTCTCTGTAATTTAGCATACTAATTCACACTAGTGTGAACATATGTGGTCAATATATTATGCAGTCAAATTCTTAACTGTTCTGTTTTCAAAAATAAAACATGCTGTCTTTAATAATAATTTAGAAAAATAGCCAATAATTGATTTACAAGTGTGATTTTTTAAAAAGTTTAGGATGCTTCAGATGTTGCAAATATTATACATGTATTGATAGGTGCAAAACTGACATGGAAAGGCAATAAATAGCTTTCTCCTGCAGTAAATCTCACTGACATTATATTTAATTTAACCTAACCCTATTTTTAATCTTAGCGACCTGAGCAATAATCAGATCTCTGAGCTAGCACCAGATGCTTTCCAAGGACTACGCTCTCTGAATTCACTGTAAGTATTGACCACGTAACTGGAGGAAAGTAGAATGCATAAGGAATAATGGCTCTATGTTTTAATTTGGATTTAAGGGATATGTTCCTTTATGTGTTTTACTATGCATTACTAACAGTATTAATTATTATAAATCATTAGTGAATTTTATCATTTTTATGGAGAACTGCTACCTGTCCCTCAGATCAGCTAATTTTTAGGGGTTTATATTTTAGAATTCGATAGTTTTACTGTTTAGAGATCGAGTATGAGCCCCTTTTTTGACAGTGTTTTCTTACAGAAGTAAAGGGAAAATGTTTACTTTGGAGGCTTCAATCAGTACTGCATTTATAATCCCATCCTTAAACCCATAGTCACTCACTGGGGACAATTACAGTCCCGTTTAGAATGATACTAGGTAAAGTCGTGCAGAGAACAGTGAAAGATAACCGGTGAAAGGACCTCCCTCCAACCCTCTACTTCATCACCTTAAAGACTTTCCTGAAAGAACCAGCTTTAATCTCTCAAAGAACAAATATAAGAAAAGTATGGCAGCTTTTCAATGTCAAAAGGACTTCCAGGGAGATAGCTGTATAAATTAGAGTGACTCTAAAGTGAATTTACAGAGACTGTTATTCCTTCAAATTTGTATAAAATCTTCAGAAGTCCACTGAGTAGAGTATATATTATTTCAAATTCTAATTTTAAAGTTTAAAAATGAAATCTGGTTTCTTTGTTTGAGGAGATGCTTACAGAAGAGTTCTTATTGATGTAAATTACTGCAGTGCTCTTAGGAACTTCCAAAGTCAATAGTAGTCAATGAGAATTTCAGGATACACATGTGTGATACTTAGATAAACACCTGAGGTTTGTAGAATACTTTACACTCATACCAAGGGGAGGAGATGTACCAGCTTATCTGGGTTGTAAAGAGCCTCTTGATGAAAGTGAAAGAGGAGAGTGAAAAAGTTGGCTTAAAGCTCAACATTCAGAAAACTAAGATCATGGCATCCAGTCCCATCACTTCATGCCAAATAGATGGGGAAACAATGGAAACAGTGAGAGACTATTTTGGGGGGGGTCCAAAATCACTGCAGATGGTGACTGCAGCCATGAAATTAAAAGATGCTTGCTCCTTGGAAGGAAAGTTATGACCAACCTAGACAGCATATTAAAAAGCAGAGACATTACTTTGCCAACAAAGGTCTGTCTAGTCAAGGCTATGGTTTTTCCAGCAGTCATGTATGGATGTGAGAGTTGGACTGTGAAGAAAACTGAGCACTGAAGAATTGATGCTTTTGAACTGTGGTGTTGGAGAAGACTCTTAAGAGTCCCTTGGACTGAAAGGAGATCCAACCAGTCCATCCTGAAGGAGATCAGTCCTGGGTGTTCATTGGAAGGACTGATGTTGAAGCTGAAACTCCAGTACTTTGGCAACCTGATGCAAAGAACTGACTCATTTGCAAAGACCCTGAAGCTGGGAAAGATTGAGGGCAGGAGGAGAAGGGGACGACAGAGGATGAGATGGTTGGATGGCATCACTGACTCAATGAACATGAATTTGAATAAACTCTGGGAGTTGGTGATGGACAGGGAGGCCTGGAGTGCTGCAGTCTATGGGGTCGCAAAGAGTCGGACATGACTGAGAGACTGAACTCAACTGAACTGATGCTGGTCTGCTCAGAAAACTGCAATTTTCTTTGGACCAGAAAAAAAAAGGAAAACTATCACTTCACCTGCAGTATCTGCCTAGGTTCATTTTTGTTTGTTTGTTTGTTTGTTTGTTTTAGTATATGAAGTCCAAAACCAGGGAAACAACTGCTGGCAGAAAATGTAAAGTGCAATCATGTACCCTTTCGGTTGACTCTTTGAAACCATACCTTTTATTTATCTCAGTTATATCAGTGACTGGCACATGGGCAAATGGTGAACATTGGACAAGTTATCCATTCCTGTATTCTTGCCTGGAGAATCCCATGGACAGAAGAGCCTTGCAAGCTACAGTCCATAGGGTCCCACAGAGTCAGACACAACTGAAGCAACTTAGCATGCACACACACATGAACAAATAACAGTTGGATTCAGTTTAATTGGGCACCAAGCTTAGAACCTGCAAAATTCCTGGCACATAGTAAATGTATAGTATCTATTGCTGAATGCATTACTTGAATGATATTCTATTGAATACCCAAGTTGGTGCCAACTTGATCTGATCATTTGTTCCCTAAAGCTCTCTTTCTCTTATTCTTGACCTAAAGACATATCTTAGTATTGCTTTACCCTTTCTTAATGCCTTTACTCCTTGAGTCTGACAATATAGAGTTCTCTTTTGTTCCTGTGTTTTTAAAATTGTTTCTTCTCTGACTTACATTTTTTAAAAAATCTATATTCTACATAAATGACTTTTTATGTCAAACCATATAACTATACCACTAGAATCTATACAAATGGTATGTCTACTTGTACAATATAGTACCCAGATTTATTTCCTTAAGAATTTTCTTCATATTTTATAATTTATCCCACCTCTCATTGACATCTTAAAAGGGAACAGCTTTTTCCTCACTCTGATTCATCTCTCTTGCGTTGTCATTTCCCCTCCTTTCTGAACAGAAGTCAGGTACAGCTGCCAAACATATTTTGATTCTCATTTCAGCTTTTTCTTTTACATTTTATGACATCCATTTATTTCTTTTCCAAACGAATGTTTCTGACTCTTAAAGTATATATGCCCATTGTAGAGAATATTTTTTGAAATATATAGATAGATAGATGCAAAGTCAAATGACCTCTGAATGGCAAATCACCTGCAATCTAGAGATCGTCCACTTTTTTCTAAGTATATATGAGTATATTTTTCTAAATGAAATTATACTGTAATATATTCTTCTGTATTTTGCTGTTTTAAACTTAATATCATATCATAAGGGTTTCCCAGGTGATACTAGTGGTAAAAAACCTGCCTGCCAATGCAGGGGATGCAAGAGATGCGGCTTCAATCCCTGGGTTGGGAAGATCCCCTGAAGTAGGAAATGGCAACCCACTCCAGTATTCTTGCCTGGAAAATTCTATGGAAGAGGAACCTGATGGGCCACAGTCCATGGGGCTACAATGAGCTGGGTGTGACTGGCACAGATCATACACATAATATCATAAATACTTTCATGTCACCAAATATTTCTTCAAACATGATTTTTATCAATGTGAAATATATATTTAGCCAATCCCCTTCTTTAGAATCTGGAAACATTTTATTTGTATTTCATTTTTCACCATTATAAATTAGGCCACAATTAATATTTAGCACATAAAATATTGTATTTGTCTCTGATTTTTTTCCTTAAACTCCTGAGAGAAACTACTTACTAAAAATTTATATACACATTTTTATAACTCTTGATTGTTGTTATTATTCAGTTGCTAAGTTATGTCCCACTCTTCGCGACACCATGGACTGCTTAGAGAATAGCTACAACTCATTTGTCCCCTTAAAAATGTAATTTCTGTCTTTTCCTTCACATTATTTTGGTCCCTCCCCTCCTTTATGAGGCTGAGAAGAGAAGGGCGTCATTGCAGACCTGTTGTCAGTAGCCAGCATGATGAGTTGATCATTTTCATTTCCTTGCTGTTGAAATCCTCTCATTTCACCATTTCTGTGAATAAGATAATCTCCTTAATTTATTCCTGTGCTAATTTTTACTTCATTTTCCTCTTCAAACAATATTTATTCATCAGTCCCACATTAGAACATCACTGTGTGCCAAAGCCTAGGCACTAGATGTTCTAAAGTGATTGTTGATTGTTTATAGTTACACTCAGTGGCTAATGTGGTGGGGGGCGGGGTGAGGACACAAGAATGCATTCCTATTCATATTTCTTTAGGGAACATACATTTTAAAAAGTCTGTATAAATATTAATGATCACTGTCTTTGCAAATTTTACATTTCTGATGTATATACATTATATATTTAAAACAAATATTTTACACTTATATGGATTCCTCTCACTCTTAACCATTATGATAATTCTAAATGTTACCCCTTTGAAGAACAATGGATTTCAGGTTAGTGTTCTGCTTTGTTATATCCCGTGTGCTTTCATAAAAAGAGCTGTGTGTATTTGTGTATAAAAACATGATACATTAACAGTGGACATTTCTATGAAAGGACAGTAAAATTAGAAATCGTGTTAATTTTTCGTAATTTTTTGTTTTTCTCTGGTTTCCAAACTTTCTACCATAAACACACACCATAATCAGGGGAGAAACATTTCCAAATTAAAGTTTGTTTACTCTGCTATGGCTTTATGATATATGGAGCTTACTAACCTCCTTTATGCCTGAACATGTTTGTTTGGATAAATTTGTTTTGCTGGCTAGTCTCTAATTGTATTTCTTTTTGTTTGTTTAAATCATGTGTTTTCCAGTGTCCTCTATGGAAATAAAATCACAGAACTCCCAAAAAGTTTATTTGAAGGACTGTTTTCCTTACAGCTACTGTAAGTATTTGATTGTTTTTCATCTGTTGAACCTAAATATTATATTTGACTCAGTGTACCATCTCATATTTTCATGGAGGCGTCAAAAAAATTTGATCCAAAATGACACAGTTTAATGAAATGGAAAAGATTAGTGAAGCTAACATTGATGATGGTTATTTATTTGAAGACACAATACTTTGAAATTGTCCCCAAACCTTTCTTTCCACAGTGTCATAAATGTGAGTGTCCCTGCTGTTCTGTCATTTCAAGTTTCTGCAATCTTTGCCCTTTATGAAATTTATCTGTTTTGATTTAATAGTACTTGGGAAGGAGAAGGACATGGTGATATGTTTATTCATCTTTGTCCAAAAAAATCTCTAACAGTGACAATACTAGAATAAAATCCCCCAACACAAAAATGGTCTCTTATAGTCTAGGACAGAGTGTTAACAAACTAATCTTTAGTGAGAGAATCATCTGTAAATTTCCTGGATTTTAATATTTAAAGACCACTCTGCTTAGAGAACAGCTATACCTCATTTGTCTCAAAAGAAGTATTTATGATACAAATTTATAAGAATAAGAATTGACTCCAGATGTCATAATGAATGCTCATATGAAAATGAGATTGAAAAAAACATATGTTAATACTAAGATTGTTAGTGTTGGATCGTCAAAATCTATTCAAATCCCAAAACATTTATAGGATATCTCTTTTGGGACACACACTGACCTAGCTGCTATGGAGGAAAAGAGGAGTATGCTACAATTTCTGCTCTCAGCTAGCTCACAGCCAGTTTACTTTAAAATTCTTAAGTTTAGAATGCTGTTTTCTCTTTTGAGCGTATGCATTTGTTGGTGTTAGGTTTGTACCATTTACTTGGTAAAAATGTGTTCCTAATCCCACAAACTTCCAAAATGTGGATCTTTTTCTTTACTTGATAAATATATGGTTACCATTATATCCTATTATTCATATTTTAACTGTTTATTATTATGCAGAAGCATATTATATATCACAGCCCTATTCTTACTTACACACACACACACATGAAACATATTGTTAACAAAGCAATATTTAACCTTATTAGATATAGTACTGTCAATTCTGTTCCATTCTCTTCTTAATGCTATATAACCCAATAAATTCATTTTACAACAAACCAATCAGTCATGCTAAATACTGACTTTTGTAACCTATTGGTTTTATTTGGGCATCAAATTATTTTACAACCCTTGCAAGGAAGTTAGGTATAGCTGTGTGCTACAACCAAGTGTTGTCTATTTTTTATGTGCTTTTCTATCAGTTCTTCCACAATTTCCTAGCACTGTTCTCTTTCCCATTTACTTCTAATTTCTTCTGCTACCACTGCCCCATGTGGTATCGACACTTAAAGTTGCACCTTTTTTTCCTTTCCTCCCATACTTATTGGTAGTTGATGTAGTAAATGGGTTAATAAACCCTTGGAATCTCTATGTAGATAAATCTTACTCAAAAAACCAGCTTTCTCACTGTGCCTTAAATTCTGTCCCTAGACTAAGCCTGCCGGGACTAACAAGGCACAATTGACTCTGTAAGGTTAGCTGAGAATTTGATTCAGTTAAGCTTCTTAGATCCATTTGAACAGATGAGATATTTGGGAGAAGTGGGTAAATGGAAGGAACGAAAGAAAGTAGTGTTCAATATTTCTCCCCCGATTGCTGGACCACCTGAAAGGAAAGTAAGTGCAAAACTCCCAGAGAAGCACTTTCTTGCGTTGCCTCTCAGACTGCCTGCTTTCTCCCTGTATCAGCATTCTTCTGCCTGACTCCTCTTTTAGTTAGCTACGTGCCGTCTGTCATGGCCCTGAGTGAGGAGGTATGGGATTAGTCCGTCCATACCTCAAATCAGGCCTATGAGCTCTTAGGAAAGGACTCTGTAGACCACAGAGAAGGCCAAAACTGCAGTTCCTAAAAGAAGATAAAAAAAAAAAACCCAACTCTGATCCCTGGTTCAGAAACTAAGATACTACATGTCACATGGTGTGGACAAAAAAATAAAGAAAGAAAACACACCTAAATAGTATGTCCATAAAAAAATAAAAAGAAGCAAAGTGAAAGTGTTAATCACTCAGTCGTGTCTGACTCTTTGTGACTCCATGGACTGTAGCCCGCCAGGCTCCTCTGTCCATGGAATTTTCCAGGCAAAAATACTAGAGTGGGTTGCCATCCGCTTCTCTAGGGGATCTTCCCAACCCAGGGATCAAACCCAGGTCTCCTGTATTGCAGGCAGATTCTTAACCGTCTGAGCTACCAGGGAAAACACAAAGGTGATTTAAAAAAAAAAAAAAAAGACAAGTACAGTAAAGAGAACTACCACGAGGAAGTCCTGACTTTGCACAGGCAGAGAGTTGAGATATTTAAAAAGCAAGTAAAACTGAAATACTCTTTGTTAATCACAGAGGGTCTGTTGGGCAAATTGCGAAACAGTATACAGTGTGTTAGATAGAAAGACATCACACCCAAACCATATAGCACATATTTTTGAGCTGCCAAGTATTTGTTAAAATCCTAAGTATCAAAGTTCTGAACTAAATGATGAGAGATAATAAGAACTATCAAAAACTTTTCTGCCCCCAGAAGGCTAAACTCTCTGCAGGCAAACATGTGGGCCTGTGTAAAATCGCTGATGAAACTAGGTAGCACTGACTAACTTGCTCTGGAAAGTAGAGGAAGGAGCTTGTTAGTTGGGTGGAAATTGTATTCTGAAAAAGTCTTGCTCTGGAGAAAGTGAGCCTCCTCTGAGGTCTTGATAGGCCAGATGGTTGAGGCAGATGGAGAGCAGGACCCATGTACTCCCATAGGTGAAGCAAGCATGAATAAAAGCACAGACAAGGTGACATGTAACCTGTAAGGATGACGTTTGTGCCAGATCTGTAAACCACGGCTCCACATAATCCTAATATTGAATATTGGTAAAATATATGAGAAAATGGAGAAGGAAATGGCAACCCACTCCAGTATTCTTGCCTAGAGAATCCTGTGGACAGAGGAGCCTGGTGGGCTGCTGTCCATAGGGTCACACAGAGTCGGACACGACTGAAGTGACTTAGCATGCATGCATGCATTGGAGAAGGTAATGGCAATCCACTTCAGTATTCTTACCTGGAGAATCCCGGGGATGGGGGAGCCTGGTGGGCTGCCGTCTATGGGGTCACACAGAGTCAGACACGACTGAAGTGACTTAGCAGCAGCATATGAGAAAAAAAAGTTTGTGAGATACTGTGCCAAATAAAGTGAATTGGATATCTATACTGCAGAATAGAGCTTCCCTGGTGGCTCAATGGATAAAGAATTCGTCTGCAATGCAGGAGACATAGGAGATGTGAGTTTGATCCCTGGGTCGGGAAGATCCCCTGGAAGAGGAAATGGCAGCCCACTCCAGTATTCTTGCCTGGAGAATCCCATGGACAGAGGAGCCTGGCAAGCTGCAGTCCATGGGGTCACAAAGGGTTGGACATGATTTAGTGACTAAAGAACAGCAAGAGTTTGGAAAAGGGAATCAAAGATCCCATTGGGAATTTGGGGCTATTGTCAGGTCTTGGGTCATTCAGAGCAAATTGGGAGTTACTCCATGGTGTGGGAGAGGAGTGACATGATCTGGTCTATGTTTAGAAGTCTCACTCCAGCTACTGTTCTGAGAATGGATTGGACTTCTTTTTCATAGAGCAGCTCCAAGGACTAATGTTTATGAGGACTTTATGGAGCCTTTGGCAGCAAAAGCTTGTCTCACCCACGTTTGTCTATTGCAGTACTTCTGCACCTTCCAGAGAATATCTTTAATAATTTTTGTTGGATAAATGTGTAAGGACCACTAGATTTAGGCAATCAAATCATTAGATATGACCCTTGCTTTATCTGCCATGACCCCAAATCTTCAACCTGTGATACCTCAATAATGACATTTAAATCTTAGTGTCAAGGTTAAAAGAAATGAATTCTTGATTGAATTTTCTCAAGAACAAGAGTCATGAAGGTGGGTTAATGAGATACTACACTGTAATTAATTCTATGACTATTTGATCAAACAGATTACTGAATGCCAACAAGATAAACTGCCTTCGGGTAGATGCTTTTCAGGATCTGCACAACCTGAACCTTCTCTCCTTATATGACAACAAGCTTCAGACCATCGCCAAGGGGACCTTTTCACCTCTCCGGGCCATTCAAACCATGTATGTATATAGAATCAGAATCAGATTTGATGACCGTTGTTTTCATTCTGGATTTGAGAGTTGAGTTCATTGCAAGTCGTGTGTAAAAGTGTTATGTATGTGTTTCTGAAAGGCATTTGGCCCAGAACCCCTTTATTTGTGACTGCCATCTCAAGTGGCTGGCGGATTATCTCCATACCAACCCAATTGAGACCAGTGGCGCCCGCTGCACCAGTCCCCGGCGACTGGCGAACAAAAGAATTGGACAGATCAAAAGCAAGAAATTCCGTTGTTCAGGTAATTTCTTACTTTGTGTCACATTTCCCCTGTGTTGCTGAAAACAGTAGTTAATGAGATGTAGAGACAGCTGACCTTCAACTAAATTGCCAAACATTACAGAATTGTATTTCTTTTTCTTCTACCCATGAAGAAAAATATAAAGAGAACTGTAGACACCATTCACATAGAATCCCTACATGTAACCTTTTTAACACACTATCCAGCAGAAGAAATAAAGGAAGAAAGATGCCTGGGTACTTTAGGCTGTAATCCCAGGGTTTGAATTTAACAGTGGCCTTCTAACTCAGTGCCTATTAAATCTCATGTTTGTTGTATTGTTTTCCATTGAGCAATGGTGAAGTAGTTAATTGTCTGTTTCTCTGAGAAAGTGAACTGAGACTTAGCTACTTGATTTGCTCAGGTTCAGAAGTAGGGGGAAACAGAATACACTGAATTCCTTGCTTCTCACAGGAAAGCAATGTTTTGTTTCTAGCTTTACGTTCTCACATTTTGACCAGGACTGTGAGGATATATATATTTTTTCTAAAAGGCCATCTTTTAACACTTTGGGAATATTACATTTACTTATAAGAAGTGAAATATAGGTGCATTGTATTAATATTAAAGAGAAAACTTATTTCATTGAAATTTACTATTTGCTTTGGTATAATCCTTTCTATTTTCTCAAAATAAAATGCATTGTTTATGTTTTGGGTAGTACACTACCTAACTATTCCAGGCGTTATTTCACATTCGGCAGTTAATTCATACTAAAAAGCTAATATCAAAAAAAGCCGTTTATTGTCCATGATTCTAGATGCATTTCCTACTCATGGTTATACTTCAGCCACTGCTGTGAATATACATTTTTTTCACTTAATTATCTATAGTAACTTTAGTCCATTCTTAATCTAATATAACTCATATCTCTGCTTGCTGACATTCAGGTGCATCTTCTATTTTTTTTCTCTTTTTTTTATTTAGCTAAAGAACAGTATTTCATTCCAGGTAGGTTTTGCTCGGTAGTAGGACTAACTGCAGACACCTTTTCCTCACTTATAAAACCTAGCTTCTAAAACTTTGATATGCATGCTTTCAAAAGTCCAGTGGATACTCTGTAGCTAGATTCTGCATAGATCACTAGTAACTGTTTCCTGAAAACCTGACCTTTGCATGCAGCTTCTGATGTTAAACATATATATTATTAAACTCCCACTTTTTTTTTCTCTCTCTCTCACTCTGGCACATTATCTAAAATTTCTCACAGTAGCTAAAATGTTTGAACCTATGGCTTTCTACTTAAATCATTTTCTCTCCTTGTGTTGTATATCTGACCTTTCAACCTGTTTTTAAAATATAGCTTCTTGAGCTGGTTTTAAAGACAGACCTTTCTGTTGTCAAAGAACTAGTTCTACATGCAATCAGTCACAAACACACAAAACTGTGTTTTCAATCATGAGATTTATTTACTCTTTTATAGAGATTTTTCTATACTAAAAACGTATCCCTTACTTTTTGCTTCACTTGGTTTGCTGTGCTTCACTTTTTATACCAAAGCACCAGCTTCCTACTGGTTTATGTGCAGCTGTACTTTGTTTATGATCTGAAATTCTTGCATCTTTGGACTCGTAGTATAACAACTCCATGAAAGCAGGATTGACATCCATCCTGAAAGTATCATGAGCACCCAGTGCCTTGAATAACTTAGTTGAATGGAGTGTTTCTTAGAAAAATAATTGGAATATTTTACCACTGCAGTCTTAACACTGTCAAAGCTGATGATTCTAGAACTAGCTCTTTGAAGTATGTTTCTTTACTTATCTCTTCCTTGCCTGCCAATTGTGTAAAATGCCTCTTGACTTGTTTGTTTTCAACTATTGTTTAAAAATACATGTTAGTAACTCATTGGCTACATTTGTAATCTCCTGGGTAGACTCTAGACTATAAAATATTTTAATAGTTATAAATAAAGATATTTCTAAACTGTTAGTGTAAAAAAAACACATTTTCTCTTAAGAATTCTAGGTTTGGTCTCTATTTTAAGGAACTATACCTTGCTTGCCATTGTTGAATTATAATATGAATAATTTTATGCATTTAACCAATTTTGTTTTATCACATATTTTGACTTGAATGATCAGTAATATTTTGTATATTACACTGGCTCCAGAAGAAGTGACATGTTGAAAAGAAAAATTGGCCTTCACTGGCAATCTTCAAAATTTATTATTTTTACCCAATTATTAAATAGAAAGTCATCTGATAACTATTACCCAGAAAAAGTTATATTGAAAAACAGAACCCCCCCCCATAGGATAAAACATTGATATTACTTAAATGTCCAAATTAGAGAAGTTAATATGATTATTATCAAAATATTCAATCTATTACATTTAAATATGCTTTTTCAATAATTAGAAATTAGTATTTCAAATTCACCAAGTAAAGAACAAAATCAGGTTGTTTTCAAAATTTTGTTAATAAGATTCAGTTCAGTTCAGTTGCTCAGTCGTGTCCAACTCTTTGTGACCCCATGGACTGCAGCACACCAGGCTTCCCTGTCCATCACCACCTCCCAGAGCTTACTCAGACTCATGCCCATCGAGTCAGTGATGCCATCCATCGAGTTAGATATGCATTGAGTCGGTGATGCTGTTAATAAGATTAACAGCAGCCAAAATAGGTTTTGCAAAAAAGAAAAAAACAAACTCTCTATATCAGATATCATGGCTTAATTGTCAATTTCTGATTATTCAGTTTACATGATTTAAAAGCGTAATTCTAGAAGTCAGGACTCAGAAAAATTATTTGAGCCTCTGCTCCCTCTATCCCACCCCCAGATATTAATTAAAATCTAAGCTTACTGAGAGAGTAGTCATAAAATAAGTATTATTGTCATTGCATTGAATGCAGATTATTTTCAATGTAAAATACCTCGTGTATCTGTCATTTTACACTTTATTCCCTGCATTTTATTTATTTCACTTTTAAAATGAAAACTTAAACCACAATACGACAGATCCTCATGTCGTGTTGTAAATGTCATGACATTAATTGCCAAATGTAATGAAACTATTATATTCAACTTTGCGAACTTCTTCCGAGATCCTGATTCCTTTTAATTCAGTAATGTTATTTATGAGTTGGAAACGTCATTAAAATCATGTAAGCCACAAGACCTAAGGTTTCGTCCAAATTTTCCAGTGGGAGTCCTTGATGATCGATCTCATGATCTGCATTTTATTTCATTTTACATGTCTGTTTGCCTACCACCATTCTGGATGGCATCTAGATAGTACAGTGATCACTCAGAACAAAATTTATCTTGTAAGGAGAGTTCATCTTTTAAAGGACTTGACAAGAACTTAATTTGTGCTATGCATCTTGTATGCCATTGCTTTTCCTGTAAGACCACTGTGCTTCACAAAATGATTATGAAAGTTTACAAAGCATGACGGTTCCTGTCACACCAGGCCATTCCCCAATAATTGCCACAGTCAGGGAGGAAGGACTAGACCTTAGTGAGTTATATATATACTATGTGAATCTTACTTGGGTTTGCTCTGTCTTTCTTTCCTTCTGGGTGATCTTTACTTTTTCAGGAATTCACCATTTGGGCTGTAAGTAAAAGTGTCTGATCTGAAACATAATATCCTCCCTTTTCAATCCTGATGTATCTTCTTTTAGTCTCACTCTTTTGCGCCTTCTTATTTGTTTTTATTTTTTCAAGAAGACACCACAGATCTGTTGAGCCTCTCTGTTGTCCTTGTAGCGCACCTTCAACTTCTCCCTGGATGTTGTTCCCGAAAAAGCTGTTGTTTCCATTCTGCAGTTCTGAGGAACGTTGGAGGCACCTTTCAGTATAGCCCCTTCTTTGTGTTTCCAGGAACTCTTCGGTAGTAATACTCTTACTATGGTCATAAACATTCTTGCGGGAAGAATGCATGTCATGTGAACAGTATTACGTTTCCAGAGCGTCTGTAGCTTCTCTCCTGCTTCCCTTCATCTCTCCTCCTGGTCTTACCCTTGGCCTAGTGGATGGTGTAGTGGTTATGTAGCGAGATTTTCTGTTGTGCTTGATCTAACCATGTGGTTGCCAGGTATGAGTAAAACATGGTTCCGTCAAGCACCATGGAACGTCACGCAGCTTTCTACAGCATGACAAGCTGCTGAGGCTTAAGTCAGGATTCACTTGTCTCTTTTTATAAAATCAAAATGAACAAAAGAGGGCTTTTTAAGCATTTCTGAAGATTATGTGAGAGGGAGAGAATAATAAAAGACCATAGAAAATTAAAAAACCTGAGTCCATCTATTTGCCTTGAAAGCCCTGATTGAAAATGATATATAGGCATATGTTTATTACTGGATACATTTTCAATTCTTGACTCAGAGAAAAAAATAAACTTTTTCACGATTAGTAGCCATTGTGTGATTAGCTGTCAAATAGGCTAGAATGGCTCACAACTGGATCAGCAGAAAGTACAGCTGTGAAAAGCTCAACTCTGTTAATGTTTTCCTGTCCTGTGAATCCGGTTACTCTTTTTTCCAGCAAATTCCAAGCCCTTGTTTTAACCTTTTCCTGACATCCATTGACCAAAATTCCCCAAGTTGTCTCCCTGCTGCATAATCTATAGTTACCTTACTTTTTTCTTCCTACAAATTAATAAATATTCTAACTTTCAGACTCAGTATCTTCTTTTTTGGCTTGAATCCTCAATAGGTACCGAAGATTATCGATCAAAATTAAGTGGGGACTGCTTTGCCGATTTGGCTTGTCCTGAAAAGTGCCGCTGCGAAGGGACCACAGTGGACTGCTCCAATCAAAAACTCACCAAGATCCCAGACCACATTCCCCAGTACACTGCAGAGCTGTAAGTTCATCTCCCAGCAACATCCAGTTTCAGAAGGAGGGAACGAGAGCATCAAAACGTTGGGATTCTTTTCTTGCCCTTTCATCCTCAATAATTATGTTAATTTTAATTGACAAACATTGGCATAACTCTTTTTTTGTACAAGTGTGAATATTAGAGGCTCTCTTCCTTCTTCTTTCTGATCCAAGGTACATCTACAGAAAATAACTCTCAAAAATTCAGTTAGCACTTGATAATGCTAATAACAATCCATTTGATACTTATTACTTGGGGGCTTCCCTGATAGAGCAGTTGGTAAAGAATCCACCTGTAATGCTGGAGACACTGGTTCGATTCCTGGGTCAGGAAGATCTGCTGGAGAAGGAGTAGGCTACCCACTCCAGTATTCTTGGGCTTCTCTTACAGCTCAGCTGGTAAAGAATCTGCCCGCAGTGCGGGAGATCTGGGTTTGATCCCTGGGTTGGGAAGATCCCCTGGAGAAGGGAAAGGCTACCCATTCCAGTATTCTGTCCTAGAGAATTCCATGGACTGTATAGTCCAAGGGGTGGCAAAGAGTCAAGACACAACTGAGCGACTTTCACTTTCACTTTCCCTGATAGCTCAGTTGGTAAAGGATTACGCCTGCAATGCAGGAGACCCTGGTTCAATTCCTGGATGGGAATGATCCCGTGGAGAAGGGTTAGGCTGCCCACTCCAATATTCTTGGGCTTCCCTTGTGGCTCAGCTGGTAAATAATCCACCTGCAATGTGGGAGACTTGGGTTTGATCCCTGGGTTGGGAAGATCCCCTGGAGAAGGGAAAGATTACCCATTCCAGTATTCTGGCCTGGAGAATTCCATGGACTGTATAGTCCATGGGGTGGCAAAGAGTCGGACACAATTTAGCGACTTTCACTTTCTTCGGTATGAATTATGTCCAAGGGCTTCCCTAGTGTCTCAGGTGGTAAAGAATCTGCCTGCAATGCAGGAGACCCAGGTTCAATCCCTGGGTCGGGAAGATCTCCTGGAGAAGACAATCCTAGAGAGAGAAGACTCTCTCCAGTATTCTTGCCTGGAAAATCCCAGGGACAGAGAAGCCTGGCGGGGTATAGTCCATGGGGTCGCAAAGAGTCAGACGCAGCTGAGTGAGTAACACTTTCATTGTGTTCAAACCCATTTCTAAGCACTTAATCATTTTTTAATGTATTTAGTCTTTTCAGCAACCAAATAAAATAGTTTGGAGTCAACATTTTGAACCTCTGTTCATTGTGAATTCAATCAGAGTCCTTTTTTATCAGCTATACTATTATAATTCACTGAGTCATAAGTGGAAGGATTCAGTGATTATCAAGTATAAAACATAAAAGATAGTTTTCTTTTTCTGAACAGTGGATAACATGGCAGGAAAAACTGAAAATGATAAAGTGGGAGCAGATCTATATTTATAATACTAACATAGGGCTTAGCACATACAAGGTTCTAAAATATATTTGTTGAATTATTTATAGATTCTGTGTCCATCTGTGTTGGCCTTTACTGAGTTATTTATAAAAGTACAACATTTAATGTTAGGGTTTCTAAAAAAATCCAAAAAGAAAAAGAAAAAAACGTAATGAAACCTCATCAATTTTAGAACATCTTAGTAATGTTTATGTCTAGCACCATCTGGTATTTGTCATTAACTGCTTTGCAAAGTTGGTTGTCTTTTTGTGCCTGTATAATTCTTTCATGTACAGCTAGATTATAACCCCTTGATGACAAGGGTGGTTTTATAGTTTATCAGGGATTGTTTTATAGTTTATCTCCCACAGTACCTATGCTGATGCCTGTTACTTAATGAATTTTAATCAATTTACATATTTAAAAATTATACATTGCTTTCAAAAAGGTGACAGAAGCTAATTATCTAGTGGCTATAAGGATTTTTTTTTAAATTTCTGTTAGTACATGAAGCTATTTCATAGGTCTAGAACTTTAGAAATGTGTGGCGACCATGCAGTAATATCTCCAAACTCTGTGTTTACTGTCATATACAGAGTTATATTTATGTTCAATAACTCTGCAAACAATTCAGATTGTATCTTTCAGCATGATAATACTTAAAATAAGTTTACCTGTCACTCATGAATTTAGAAACTAGTACCTAGTTTATCTTTCAGCAAAGGTTGTGTGTGTTTTAAGAAATTATGATTTTTAAAAATTAGTCCTGGGAAGGAAATATTTGCAAAACATTTATCTGTAAGGAACTCATATCCAGAATACATAAAGAGCTCTTGAAACCCAGCGATTAAAATCTGCCTTACCTGAGACTGCCCTGTCCGTCCATTGGTTAAGACATAGAGCTTCCACTGCAGAGGGCATGGGTGCAATCCCCCAGCCGAGGAATTAAGATCCTGCAAGACACGTATGTGGCTGTTCTTCCCTCCCCCCACCCTGCTCAAAAAAGTACCTTACCAGATTAAAGAGTGATCAAATTATGTGTATGGGTATTTCTCCAAAGAAGATATCTAAATGACCAATAAGCACATGATAAATCTCTCAGGATCACTAGGCATGTGGAAAATACAAATGAAAACCACAGTGAGGTAGCACTTCACATCCATTGGAATGGCTTTTAAAAAAGACAGTAACAGGTAAGAGAAATTGGGGCCCTCATACATTGCTGGTGGAAATGTAAAATGGTCCAGCCCTTTTGAAAAGCAGTTTGGCTTTTCCTGAGGTAGCTAACATGGTTAAATAGTTTTGCCACGTGACACAGTGATTTCACACCTATGTATATAGCTAAAAGAATTGAAATCATACATTTACACAAAATCTTGTACACCAGTGTTCCTAGCAGGATTACTTGCATCAAGAAGTGGATGCAACTCAGATATCCATCAGCTGCTGAATGGATAAACACATGTGGTATATCCATACAACAAAATATAATTCGGCCATAAAATGGAATGAAGTACCGATCTATGCTAAACGTGGAAAAACCTTATAAAAATTAAACAAAGGTAAAAAATGCAGGCCAAAAATCCACATTTTGTATGATTCTATTAATAAGAGATATTCGGAATAGGAAAATCTGTAGAGACAGAAGATCAATTACTGGTTGCTAAGGATTGAGAAGGCAGAGGGCAGGGAATTGAGAGTGACTCCTGACAGGTAGGGGGTTTCTTTTCTGGATGGTGAATATGTTCTGGAATTAGAAAGCAAAGATGGTTGCACATGTTTGTGAATATTTTTAAAGCCACTGAATTTTACACTTTAAAAGGGTACACTGTATGGTCTGGATATTGTATATCAGTAAAGTTGTTGATAAAAACATTTCTGGAGCAAGTGACTAGGGAAAAAATGGTCTAAAATGCCTTTGGAAGCAGTGGTAAGAGTGGGAAAAAAGAGGAAAAAAACATTCTACAGATTACTGAATGAAGAGTTGGCTTTGAATTTTGATTTTGGTTTTCTCTACTATATGCTTCTTAATATGTTTTATTTTGATCCTTACGATACGGGATAAATTGAAAAATATCCATCCTTCCCACAAATTTTTTGATACGTGTCTGGTATTTTTCTTTTGGATAGTCATTAAATAATGTTATAATTCTGTACGAGAAATAAAATTTAATCTCTTCCTGACTTTTGGGAATGAAACTCCTCTGTTTCTGTTTTCCCTAGGCGCCTCAACAATAATGAATTTACAGTTTTGGAAGCTACAGGGATCTTCAAGAAACTTCCTCAGTTACGTAAAATGTAAGCCATATATTAGCCATCTTTAAAAATTTCTATAGTGTTGTGTTCTCTTATACCTTTGCAGTTTTATTTCCATTTCTTAGGAAATCGGGAAAATTAAAGATTCAAAGAAATGTCCATATGGTGACCTCTTGTGATATGAGTAAAGGGTGAACTCTGAGAGGAACCTAAGTAATTTGCTCTTTTCCGTGCACGTCAGTGATGGCGACCAGGTTTTCTGTAGCCGAACCCTAGTTCCTTTAACTCTGACAGCTGGTCTGTTACATGGTCACAGCAGGAGCCCCCCAGTCTAAGTGCCTTAGAGATGAGTTCAGTAATGTGTTGTAACTTCCTTCACCAGTCACCAAACCATGCTGTTATTTCTCCTTCAGCACATTCATGTCGACTGTTTGACTTTTTGCTTCATTAAACTTTCATTAGAAGATAGTCAAAATTAATGATTGGTAATCTGGCTTGATAGCTCATGTGCGTTACTACATGTCTGCAACTCATATTTTAAAAGTAAGTTTCTAAGCTCAGCAGTTTCAGCAACACTCAGACAGTAATCCAGCCCCCTTGGGGATGGTGGAAGGAGGGATAGGACAGAGGCCAAGAGTGTAGGGCCATTGGAGCACTGTCAACATAACAGGAAACATCAGGAGGAGCAGAGAAGCATACTTTCATGATATCCGTGCCGTCATATTGTGACTGAGCCACAGGCAGACAGAGTGGAAATGGCAGAGCAGACTGAATGTACTTCCTCTGCACTTGGTCTGCACATTATACTGCCTCCCAAAGAGTTTCTAAATTCTTAAACGTCCTCCTTTCTCACTGATGCTGACTGCTTTTTCTTTTTAGCTGTAAAATGTTTTTCAATTCAATACATATTTATTCAGAGGCTGCTATGTGCAGTGCTCTGAAAGGAATAAAATGATACCTAAAAATGATCCTTATTTTGTGGGCATACTGGTCTTGGAGCGGGCCTTGAGAAAGAAAAATCTCTAGGAAGATGTTACCTACTTCAACTGGATGTTCTTGCCCTCTGGGCACGCATTAATGTTTTGTATCATACAGAATGTGGGCAGTTAATTTGGCTGTTCTGACACATTATTACATGAGAGGTTATGGGCAAAATCGCATATTCAGATACATTTCTGATGTCGTCTAAGCCCAACACATTCTAATTTTTCCTTCTTTACTCAGTTGCCTTCTTTGAGTAATGAATTCATTAAACTGTTTAAATCAGGGGCATTTCTTTGAAAAAAAGTTACTTATTAAGTGTGGTGGCAAATAATGCAGTACCTGACATCAAGGTTTTTATATTTCTGGGGGCCCTGGTGGATCCCTGATTGGGCTGCCACCTTTCAACACAGATGTTTCCTGCTTGTATTATTATCACTTTGGCTTGATGGAATCAGAAAGTGGTGATTTTTCAGAACCTTGGGAATGCCAGGCCATGAAGAGCTTAGAGGTTTTGTGGAAGATGGTTGTTCAGTAAAAGAAAATGATCAGACGCATTGCTTAGTGCCCTTGCTGTTAGAAATTGTTTCAAATATTTGTTTCAATCATTTTTACTTAGAAACTTTAGCAACAATAAGATCACAGATATTGAAGAGGGAGCGTTTGAAGGCGCATCTGGCGTGAATGAAATACTTCTCACGAGTAATCGTTTGGAAAATGTTCAGCATAAGATGTTCAAGGGCTTGGAAAGCCTCAAGACTTTGTAAGTATTCTCATTTGCATTGTGATTTTTCTAGCACAGCGTTGTCATTCCCAGTTCTTTATATTCCTGGGAGGGGGAGTAGCTCCTGCTCTTCCTCATCTCCCCATCTCTCTGTCTCTCTATTCCTCTCAGTCTCTCTCTCACACACACACAAATACATTTTTTAGAGGCAAACAATTCCTGACTCCAATATCTCTGGCTTCAATATGTTGCTTACAAATGATCGATAGAGTCTCTCCCGGCTATTGAATCCTCAGCAAAAAAGATCATCTTGGTTCCAGTGCTTGTACAGATCTGGCTCCCTGTTCTTCCTCAAAATGATCATTCTCTTTCCTTTTATTCAAATTCCTCTGTCTAATACTATGTCTTGGCCCAAGGTCACCAGCTTCAGAGCCCATTCCAAATCTGCAGAATAAGCCTAGCTCGAGACTTCATCTTCCCTTTCAAGGTCTTAGTGAAAAAAAGAGAAGCTGGCTGCTGATGTCTCTTTTACTAGCTAATTCAAAGAAAACATGTTAAGAGTATGCCTACTTACTCAGGGGTAGGGAAGCTGGGAAAAGAAATCTTATATGTTTCTAAAGGTTTTTGGCCCAGGAAAATGTTGCTTGAATTAATGAATAAGGACAACATCTTGAGTTACTTGAATTTTCATTCAGTTTGTTTATGTAGTTTTTATAACCTTGGAAGCATATAAATATGTTTGGTGTAAGTGGTGGCCTACGCATTGGAAGAAACACCAACAAATCTGAAACCTTTGGAAGGTATGAAGGAAGTTGTAAGCAAGAAGCAGCCCTTGGGAATTGGCAGTGAAGAGAGGCTAAACTCCATGTCTCCCCTAAATGCCTACCCTAGCCCATGGAGGCACCAAGAGCCACGCCCAGGGGAACTGAGACCCAAGGGAGTTCATGCCTGCCCATTATCAGATGCGAGGGAGAGGACATTTCCCCAGCATTCAATAGCATCCCAATTAACATCCCACTCAAAAAAGCACCTGTCCATGAAAGGCACACATGGTAGCCTGGAGGCAAACCACCCAGCACAACCAGCCTGCAACCTGCCGGCCCCTCTCACAGGCTAACTCGGAGTCCCGGCAAAGTGAAAAATGTAATGCAAATATCCCTTTGGTCTTTTTATGGAGGAGATGCTGGAAGTGTGTAGAAGGAGGGCAGAGAAGTTATACTACAGGTGACTACATCTACTCCTGCCCCCATTCCCCTCCCACAAGCTGTCTCAGTAACTTGGCAAAACTAAGTCCTGCAACATGCAGAAGCCTGCCTTCTTAGATAGTGGCTGAGTCACTGATGTTACTAGAGCCTTCTCCTTAAAGGGGCAGTGTGTATCAGGGTGGGCAATGGGGGGTGTTTGCCAAAACTCAGTCTCTGTTCACCAGTGCCGAATAGAAAGGTGGAGAAAGATATTGGTGAAGTAGAAAAGAGTAGCTTTGATTGCTTGCCAGGCTAAGGAGGCCACAGAGGGCTAATCCATCAAGACCATGGGACCCACCTTGGAGTGGGTAATGAGCAGTTTTATAGTGTTCAAGGAGGTAGGGCGTGATCAACTCGTGGACAGTTCTTGGACTGGTTGGCATCAAGGTTAAGTTTCAAGCATCATCGATTTTCTGGTTTCAACCAGTTCTAGGGTCAGCAGTTTTTACCTGAAGGGAGTTTACCTCCTGTTAAAAAACAGCTTAGGAATGTGTATCAGGCCTGTATCTGTATCTCTCCAGAAACTGGGAGTCCGGTGAAACTGCCATGTGGCAGAATTATGGTCTAAATTGTTACCAGTTCCCTAGCCTAACAATTCTTTAGGCTATTTGTTTCTGTATCTTCATATTTCACAATCATCAACTCTTGAGACAAAGACAAAGAGACGGGCTCATTCAAGGGGCTTCAAGGGGAGGCGAGAGGTCTGTCTGTAACTCTGCTTGCTTTAGTCAGCCTTGGGCTGCCATAACAAGATACCACAGACTGAATGACTTAAAGAGCAGAAATGTGTTTTCCTATTGTTCCGGAGGCTAGAATTCCAAAATCAAGGTGCTGAGATGATTGGTTTCTGGAGAGAACTCCTTCCTTGGCTTGTAGATGGCCCCGTTCTGTCTGTGTCCTTATATGGCTTTTCCTCTGTGTGTGGGACGAGAGAACTCTGGTGTCCTTTCCTCTCAGGACACCAGTCCAATCGTCAGGGCTCCACCCTTAGGATCTCATTTCGTCTTAGTGAGGTTGCTCAGTCGTGTCCAACTCTTTGTGACCCCATGGACTATAGCCTACCAAGCTCCTTCGTCCATGGGATTTTCCAGGCTAGAGTACTGGAGTGGGTTGCCATTTCCTTTTCCAGGAGATCTTCCTGACCCAGGGATCGAACCTGGGTCTCCCACAATTCAGGCAGCTGCCTTACCATCTGAGCAACCAGGGAAGCCACTTTACCATCTGAACCACCGTTTCACCTTAACTAGCTCCCTTAAGGCCCGGTCTCCAAGTGCAGTCCCATCAGGGGCTGGAGCGTTCCAGGTGGCTCAGCGATAAAGAATCCGCCTGCCAATGCAGGAGACGTGGGTTTTATCTCTGGATCAGGAAGATCCCCTGGAAAAGGAAATAGCAACCCTCTCCAGTATTCCTGCCTGGAAAATCCCATGGACAGAGGAGCCTGGCAGACTATAGCCCTTGGGGTCACAGAGAGTCAGACACAGCTGAGTGAGCATGCATGCAAGGCTTCGGCATATGAGTTTTAGGGGAATACAATTCAGCCCATAAGAGCACTCTAAGGAGTTTATCAAAGTATTTCTTTCTGACTAGCCCCAGTCACAGGACTTTCTATGAGACAAGTTCTCTAAATTCAGTTTTCACCTTCATTATATATCTAGAAATGCTTTATGCCTCCTGTGTTTAGGTACCTGAGGTAGACACCCACTAACTCTCTACTTAACCCACTGTGCCTCAAGCTGCAAAACAAATCCTTTAGAGACAAGCTAGAGGTATTGAAAGGCCTTCAGTGGGTTTACTGGGACACAGCTATTGCTTTAAGTGGTATCTTTCAGCTTAGAGCTATGAAGGTTTCGACAAGAACCCTCCCCCTTCACTGCCTGTCGACTTCTTAACCCTTTAGGACTAGTAAACCTCTTAGTCGTACATGCACATATTTCAGTGGGTCTTTGAAGCCCCAGCATTGCAGGCAAAATGTAGTACATATGTGTGCTTACAGATTTTTCCAGCAACAGAAAGCAAAGCTTTTTTCAACTTTTCCCAGAAGTCTGTGACTCCACTAAGATTAAGACCAAATGTTCTTATTTATTTATGACAAAGGATGGTGCTGATAGTCATACTTTTCTGTTGTGCATTTGTTTCCAAATGCAAAACAATGCCTTGATAAGGAGGGCATTATCCTTTCTTGTTATCTGGAACTTAGCAGAATGCAAAAGCCGGTACTGTTAATTTATTAAAGGACAGTGTAGAATTTTAAAGGAAAGTTTTGTTGCTATTTTTGCAGTCTTCTAACAGGGTGGTCAACCACATCTAGAAAAATTAAGGAAAATATTAACTTTTTAGCAATTCTGAATGAAGTTTATGGCAACTATTTATTTTTACAATGGATTTTTAAAGAAGCTTTTCATTCCCTTCTAAGCCCTGCAGAGAAACAGTTTGCGAACAGAATTGAGAACCACCAGAACTTTAGCAGTGATGAGGAAATGACAAAAGTTTTAATCCTACTAATGTCAGTGACTAAAGAAAAAATGGTCAGAATTTCTTTCAAAAGAAACCTGTTTAAGCTTCATTGTGAACAACTGGGATCTCTTAACTGTTGTCTCCTTTTAAATTCTAAAACTCAAAACAAATAAAATAGTTTGTACAGGCTTTGTGGAAGCTCTGTCAAATTTGGCTCCCCCAGCCACTGTTGACATTGACTTGGCTGTAAGTCCCTGAGATGCCCTTAGGCCTGTATCTGCTCTGGCTATTGATTCTTTTCTGCCTCCTTTCTGTTCAGCAGCAAATGTAATGTTTCAGGGAATACACAAATCACAGGGCTTCCAGGGCTTAGAGAGGTAAGGGTGAATTAGGATATTATGTAATGATGCTACCATAATTGTACCATCAAAGGGAAACATTCTGCCTTCATTTGATGGGGTTGTAAGCCCATATTGAGACTCTTGAGTTTTTGTAACCGAGTGTTATCACTGCATTTTGTTCTTGCACAGGTTTGTTAGTGTGACTGGCTCTCCACATCTGTGGATTCTGCATCCACAGATTCAAGCATCCGCAGTGAATGCAGAATCCGCAGATATGGAGGGCCACGAGTTTGGTATATGCAGGGGGTCCTGGAATCAATCCATCAGGGATACAGGAAATGACTACGTATCAGCAGTTCCTTATGACAGGAGAACATTCAGAAAGCAGGAGTGAATGCTATGCATTTGCAAAGAGGGGTTATTGTGGTCTTCCGATAGGCAAAATTGATATTTTATCTCCTTAACGATGTTGTATTTTTCCCCCTCAGGATGTTGAGAAGTAATCGCATAAGCTGTGTAGGGAATGACAGTTTCATAGGACTCAGCTCTGTGCGTTTGCTTTCTTTATATGATAATCAGATTGCTACCATTGCACCAGGAGCTTTTGATACTCTCCATTCTTTATCTACTCTGTAAGTATGAAATATAGTCTTCATTGATGTATTAATTAAGCCAGTGCTTGATATTTATTACTTTTATTGATACCATTTTAATGCATTGCTAAGAGTTTCATAAACATAGGATTAAAGACAGGTATTTTTAAGGACAAATTTATCATGTTAAACTTATTTTAATATTTCTTACAATATTGCCTGCTATCTTATGTTAAAATTTAACAAAAATTATAGTATTTTTCAGTAAATTATTTATAACAGTGTGATGTGGCTTAATTTGTAAATGGTAATCTTATAATTTGATTGAGTTGCAAATGAGAGAAATATATTTTTTTTCCCAGTGTTCTCACATTGATGTCTTTGCCGTACAGGTATCATAAAACAGAGTTGATAGGGTTATTGCCAACAAACTGTACTCAAAGGATCATTCACAATGACAGGAGATATATTATGATGACCAGACCGACAATAAAAACTCACCATAGGGCATTTACTATGATATTAAGAAGATATTAAAGAAATAGGGTGAGCCTATCCAAGAGCACATTTTATGTAGACAGTCAAAGAATAAAGAATATTTGTAGGTCTACAGGCAGAACTCAGAAAGTGTCAGGAAACAAACTCTCCAAAACAAACAAGGGTATTTTAAGCCCCTTGTATGTAAGTATCTAAAAAAAGTAGTATCTGAAATGATAAATCTTAAAGCTGATATGGCTCTCTGGTAAGAGTGGCATCTAAATATACTAATTTAACTGAAAAGGTAGTTAGAAGGAAAAAAAATCATGTTTAACATAGCTGAAATGCCAGAAGAAATAATTTGAAGGAAACATCCATCCATCAGTAACGTATTTAATCCTCTTTCCACATAAAATGTGACATTTTCCATCGAGTGACTAATTTGTGCATGTTAAAGATGCCGTGTTTATAAATAATGGGATTGTCAATAGGTTAGTGCTGAAGTGGTGCAATGCCAAAAGTATTGAGATTTGTAGAAATAAATTCATTTTTATAACTGGCATTTAATCAACTCAGCTGTCAGTTTAGATGGGAAACCTATTCCCTAGAGCAAATAAGAGATGGAAATCTTGAAATGACAAATTAATGAAATAGCTGTTGTCAGGTTAAACTCAATAATATAAGGTAATCAGCCTTCATCTTTATATTAAATTACTGCATTATCAGTGTAGAGAAGTTTGACAGCAAGTCAGATCTCTGACAAGTTTAAATTATCTCTAAATGAGATATCCATCAGGATACCCTGCATAAACTCTGAATTGCCACCTTCACTTTATTTTTCATATGTAATTATTTGAAGAATTCTCATGTGAAAATATTGGTTTTATTGTTTAAGTTCCAGACATAAATCTTTTAGCCAGTGAACGCATCCTGTATGTTGTATGTGACTGAGCATGAATTGGGGGTGGTATGTTGTGGGAAAATGACAGCATGGAATTTTGAGAAGTACAAAAGCAGACCCCTAAATTTAACTCTGCATTGTTTGCCTGTGGTGCTTAGAAACCTCTTGGCCAATCCTTTCAACTGTAACTGCTACCTGGCTTGGTTGGGAGAATGGCTCAGGAAGAAAAGAATCGTAACAGGAAATCCTCGATGTCAGAAACCCTATTTCCTCAAAGAAATCCCCATCCAGGATGTGGCCGTCCAGGACCTCACTTGTGACGATGGTAAGAAGGCCCAGCCAGGGCTTTGATCTCCACACACACTCTGGTGACTGTTCCGAGGCTGTGGGGCACATGCAGCATTTCAGAGTTCAGGCAATGGGTAGCTGCGGTTATTATGCATTGTTTTTGCTGTGTTTTGCGCTTTTATTTTGTTTCAAGCAACAGGCACTTACACGCTCCAACTGTACATTCACATCTAGGCTCTACTTACTTTGTGTTTAAGAACATGTTTAGAGATTTTCCAATTTTCAACCTGTGGTTGATACTATTTATATAGCTTCATTTTTGCTTTTCTTTATTATTCTAAGCATCTATTTTAGTAATTACTATTTTTAAGTGATAAAGGCATTTGACTCATAAAATAGAAATTCTAGTTAACGTAACAAAAATAATAGTTTTCATTTTTAGTACTCTCTATATATCATTGCATTTGATTCTCATAACAGGCCTGTAATGTAGGTAGAATGTAGGTGCTATTATTTTGCCAAAAAGTGGAGTTCATTTGAGCTCTATATTTTCAAATGAGGGACCCATACATTTTTTGCCAAGCTTTTAAAAAATAATCTGTCCCTTTTTGTCTCTTCATGTCTGCTTACAATTTTTCCATAATTCAGTTTACATTTATATATTCTAATTAAAATTATAATTCTAATAAAAAGTGTAAACAACTGAACAAAGAATGTAACATTGTAATCGTATTGATAATATTAACTGTGAATTGTTTTCTGGAACTCTGCCCTAGGCGGTCTGAAAAGAGCCCTACACAGAACATACAGTGTCGATTTGTAAATCCTTAATGCCCTAAACATAAATCATTGTATGGCTGAAGTCTCTTGTGTTTGTTAAACTGAAGGCATAAAATCCCTTCTGGCATCTTCAGAGCCACAAATCCGGTTTTCCTATGTATCTCTTGGCAATTTAGGAAATGATGACAACAGCTGTTCCCCACTCTCTCGCTGTCCTGCGGAGTGTACCTGCTTGGACACAGTGGTTCGATGTAGCAACAAAGCCTTGAAGATCTTGCCCAAAGGAATTCCAAGAGATGTCACCGAACTGTAAGTAGAGCTCATCTCTCCCTACCTGTTTCACACACCAAGGGAAATGGAGACCAAATAAAAATCTTTTGAGTCTTGTTTGCGAAGTACATTCATTCCATGGACCATTCATTAGTATCATATAAAACCCTAAGCAAATAATATAAGAGCTAGTTCAGGTCCCCCTGGGAAAGGCTGGTTGTGTGTTTCTCTTTGTTTTGCACTGTAGGATTACCCAGTGCCTTTATCATGCAAAGGTGCGCTGTGAGCTCCCAGAGAGGAGGTAAGCCACAGTGCCTCCCACAATTGGTTGTCTCCACAGCCCTTTTCTCAATGGACTATCTTGCAAGGCCAACGTTCTATCAAATGCACCTTGAGAAATTCTACATCTTTAGTTTATCTACAGTGACTGGAATATTTCATATGGTTATTCTTTACCCTGTGTCCCCTTAGAGAATATCTCACCACAGGAGATACATGAATATGTAGGGTGTAGAAGAAGCTGACATAATCTTCAGCCTTAAAAAGAGGTAGTGCCCTTTGGACTTGAATCAGAGTCCTTTAGGAAGGATGTGGGGCCAGTGATCCCCAACACTTGCAAAACTGATATATAACCACAAATTACATGGCCACTATACATATACAGGATACTAAGCACCACGCACACTTCCTTAGCCACCTCCTGCTTTATATGTGGAACGGAATAAATCAAAGCATCAGCTGCCTGAACAATGCTGCACGCAGGCTCTGTCGGATTCCAGCATCTCTATACCAAAGATCCGGGGCAGATGCTTGATACGTGATTGAGTCTTTCACCTCTGTTTATTTTTCGACTGTGTTAAACTGTGTATCAAAAATGGAATTCATGGACATGTGTACCTGTAATTCATGCACAACAAACCAGTAATTTTGATAAACTTTTGGCAACCTGGAATATAAGTAATGAGATTCAAGAAGATGTCACTTCAGTTATCAAAGAACTTGTTTTCAAATCTTGTGCAGTTTTATGAATTGTAATTTGGTCTTTAATTGACACTTACAGAAAAAGTGTGTGATCATCCCTCTAAGAATGAGCTGTTGTTAAGTGTTCAGTTTCTCTCTCTTGATACCAATCACAGTTGTTAGTTAACTATGAGCCCTGCTTTATATGTGTGTGTAATTAAAATGTTAATTGTTATTTTGATATGTATCTATTTCAAAAGATTACTAGCCATCCAGTGTTGAGAAGCTGGATGCTTGTAGAGTATTCTATAGGCAAATTGATTCTAAGAATAACCCAACCAAGACCATAATACTCAGCATAACATTTAGATCATCTTTGATGCTGAATCCCTTTTCTACCATTTTAACTGACCCGTGCCTTTGTCCTTTTACCAGATTCCCATCAAATAATTTTCAGTTCAATCCGGTCACTCAGTCGTGTCTGACTTTTTGCAACTGCATGGACTGCAGCACACCAGGCCTCCCTGTCCATATCCAACTCCTGGAGTTTACTCAAACTCATGTCCATTGAGTTGGTGATGCCATCCAACCATCTCATCCTCTGTCATCCCCTTCTCCTCCTGCCTTCAATCTTTCCCAGCATCGGGGTCTTTTCAAATGAATCAGTTCTTTGCATCAGGTGGCCAAAATATTGGAGTTTCAGCTTCAGCATCAGTCCTTCCAATGACCAGTCAGGACTGATTTCCTTTAGGATGGATTGGTTGGATCTCCTCTCAGTCCAAGGGCCTCTCAAGAGTCTTCTCCAACACCACTGTTCAAAATCACCAATTCTTCTGCACTCAGCTTTCTTTATAGTCCAATTCTCACATCCATACATGACTACTAGAAAAACCATAACTTTGACTAGACGGATCTTTTTTGGCAAAGTAATGTCTCTGCTTTTTAATATGCTGTCTAGTTTGCTCATAGCTTTTCTTCCAAGGAGCAAGCATCTTTTAATTTCATGGCTGCAATCACCATCTGCAGTGATTTTGGAGTCTAAAAAAATAGTCTCTCACTGTTTCCACTGTTTCCCCATCTATTTGCCATGAAGTGATGGGACCAGATGCCATGATCTTAGTTTTCTGAATGTTGAACTTTAAGTCAACTTTTTCACTCTCCTCTTTCACTTTCACCAACTGGCTCTTTAGTTATTCTTCACTTTCTGCCATAAGGGTGGCGTCATCTGCATATCTGAGGTTATTGATATTTCTCCAGGCAATCTTGATTCCAGCTTGTGCTTCATCCAGCCCAGCGTTTCTGATGATGTACTCTGCATATAAGTTAAATAAGCAGGATGACAATATACAGCCTTGACGTACTCCTTTCCCGATTTGGAACCAGTCTGTTGTTCCATGTCCAGTTCTAACCGTTGCTTCTTGACCTGCATAAAGATTTCTCAAGAGGCACATCAGGTGGTCTGGTATTCCCATATCTTTAAGAATTTTCCAGTTTGTTGTGATCCACACAGTCAAAGGACTGTGGCATAGTCCATAAAGCAGACGTAGATGTTTTTCTGGAACTCTCTTGCTTTTTCGATGACCCAGGGGATGTTGGCAATTTGATATCTGGTTCCTCTGCCTTTTCTAACTCCAGGTTGAATATCTGGAAGGTCACAGTTCATGTAGTTTTGAAGCCTGGCTTGGAGAATTTTGAGCATTACTTCAGTAGAGTGTGAGATGAGTGCAATTGTGTGGTAGTTTGTCTTTTAACTTCCTTATTAAACTATATCTGAGAACCTGCTAGATTCGTCTATGCCATCTATGTGTTTCTTCTGTCAGATAGTTGAATCTTCAATCTATTCCTCTGTAAATTATTAAAAAGTTATTTTTTAAAAGAAAATATGTTCTAGAAGTGAGGAAGATATTAACTCACCTCTGTGCATTCTTGCTTTACTGCCCCAAGAGTTTTTCTTAGAACCATACCACCTCAACAGGATCCTTCTTTCCAGTAACATGTATGCATGTATGAGAAAATTTCCATGTGCATATTACATTAAATTATTAAAGAATTCAGAAAAAATAAGTATGTAGCAGTGAACAATTCTGAACAAATGGTATCCATTATTTTTAATCATTTCCATGTACTTTCCCTCTTAGATTGTTTTACATGTAAGCAACTATAGTGCACTTTCTGAAAATTTTTAGCTTTGTGTTAGGATGCTTTCTGGAATAAAGGGAAGTCCTGAAGTATATGGGATTATGCTTCCCTCTAGTGGTACCACTATTCTTAGCTAGAGAAAAGAAAGGGGAGAGGAGTTGAAATAAGATGAAGTCAGAAAATTTGAATAGGCATAAGAAGTCCTAACAAAAGCCTGACTCTTCATCACACATTTTACATATTTTGATAACTTCTGCCTGTTATATAACTTTTATCATTTTGAAATATTTGAAATAGCTTGTCATCTTAGAAAATTTCTCAGCTACTTGTGTATCCAGCAAAAATATGAATGTCAATCTCAGATCTGGAGATAGGCCACAGCCCTGGAGCAGTAGGGCTACATACCTGTTGTGGCAGAATTGTTTGTGGACACATCTATAACCAGATGGCCAAGTTGCTGAAAGACATTTTTACTCATCACCATCTACATTCTGGGAAAGAACAGCCTGGGAAGGAGATGGAATTATTTTTTTGTGTGTGTGATATCATGAATATACCTTTAAGGATTTATTTCTGTGTTTTGTCTATTAGCCCTTATTTTCTCATCATTCTGTTGACTCTAGTCGGAAAGGGAAATTTTACTAACATGTTTTATTTGATTATTAATTACTTTTACATAAATGTACTGTTTTTGTGCATTAGATGTCATAATTTTCTATGAAGTCTCCTAAAATCAATATCACCAAGCAAATATACAAGGGTAAAAACTATTTTTAAGATCTTTTTAAACTGAAATCTAATTACATTAAAATTCCTAAATATATCCGTTCAATCACCCATTGTTATTTACTAAGCATATTGATACAATAAGGCAGTGAAGATTGGTCTTGTCAGTAGTAACAAGTTTCTGCCAGTAGTGAATGCATTTCATGGTATTGGTCCCACATAGACACAAGTACACTGAAGCCTGATTAAAAATACGGTTGAATGACTGGCGCTTCTTGCTGACCCACAAAAGGTTGGATACATGCCTTGCCTTTTTAGATAAAGCACAAAGGACTAGACTCACCAGTCTCCTTGGTTTTATAATTTAGCGTAAGTAATCCACAGAAGAATTGTACTGGATTGGACAACTGTGTGTGTGTTTTTTCTCTACTTCTGTTAAATCGCAATCCTATCTGGGAACATGACCTCTTAAAGCTAAAATTGTCAAGTGTCTCCTTGCTTCAATTAAGAGTGAAATATTGCTCAACTATTTCCTGATTCACTACTGTTACTTTTTAAAAAAATAATATTTTCTTTGTTTTTAGGTATCTGGATGGGAACCAGTTTACCCTGGTTCCTAAGGAACTCTCTAACTACAAACATTTAACACTTATGTGAGTATTGTATGGTATTTTTCTGTTTTCGACATCTTATTTGCTTTCATGTAAATGTGGATAGTAGGGGCAGAAGATTTAGTGAACCTTTCAGATTCTATAAATTATTTTCAGTTAGATGCTTCTTGTCTTGCTCATTGTGGTTCTGGATCACCAGCTACATCTTCATTGATTATCAGTCGGGCAATGGTGCATCTTAGAAGAAGGTCCTGTCTGTGTAAAGTGCAAATACAATTAAATCTAAGTATCAGAGAATTATAGACCTGGAGTAAGTTGAATACTTCTATTGAAGATGAATGTGAGCTACTTTATGACAATCCACGGAAAGAAAAATGGAAAACAATGTTTATATTTTCAACTTTAAACAAAACAGAGCAGATGGTAAGAGCGTTACTGATACTATATTATAAATCTAGTTTTTAGGCTTGATTCTCATATAATACATTATGAATTAAGGTATGGGTTTCCAGTATTTAAATTTATTTTCTAAAATCCATGTTTACTTACATAGTACTGAAGTATAGTTGACAAAAATGCTGACATTCTGAATATAAACATCAAGCATTGAATTGTTTTTCGTTTGGTTTGATGTCATCCTAAAGTAGCATCTCTCTTTCATTAATGTATGTAAACAATTTCTTAAAGTCTTTAATTGTAAATGCAAAAGTATATCTAAATATACAAACATTTCCTTTCAATCTAGTTATGTGCACAATATTTCTTAAAAGATATAATCTTCTATATATAATGTCACACTTAGAGTAGCCTTGTTGGTTAACTGATAAAACTTGTCACAAAACAAAAATCAGCAACAATATTGGATATAAAGGGAAATACTTTATTTTTAAGTCTGTTTGATTTTAGAGTAATTATAACTGTCTTAGATTTCTAGTATTCCTAGAAGAGGGATTTATTCCTAATTAGTGAATTCTAGAAACCTAGGTAACTACCTAGATAGTTATGTTTCTCACTGTAAACTTTACCCTGAGCACGTGGAAGCTAGTTAAAATGTTATTGATCCTTTTCAGTTTTCCTTAAAAGTATGTGAAAATCAAACACTTTCTGAGAAGTATATAGGACTATTAACTGACAAATGGTTAAATTAAGAAAAAAAGAATACCCTCCAAGATGACTTGTTCTCTCTCTAGTTATTTATTTAATAGCAGCAAGAACTGATTACATACATTTGTTCTGTTAAATAAACCATTAAGTTGCTGCAATTCCCAAAGGGTCAGTTCAGCAGAATGGGTTCATTTGTGAGACAGAGTGTGATTGTTTAAAACCAGTTTGGAAATGAAAAATGAGAATTTATAAATCCCGAAATGGTTTTACCAGTGACTCATTATACAACTCTAGGCAGGTAACTGGGCTTCCCTGATAGTTCAGTTGGTAAAGAATCTGCCCACAATTCAGGAGACCTGGGTTCGATCCCTGGGTTGGGAAGTTCTCCTAGAGAAGGGAAAGGCTAAGAATTCTGACCTGGAGAATTCCATGGATTACAGTCCATGGGGTTGCAAAGAGTCAGACATGACTGAGCGACTTTCACTTTCACATTCAGGCCGGTAACTACTGCTAGTATAAATGTATTTATTTTTTAAATTTAGCCATAGTACTTCAGCAACTAAGATGGATTATAAAGCTTCTGTAACATTCCCACCATTTCACAGTTTCATTGGTCCATTTTACTGATACTTTGACATTTTAATGTAGATAATCTGAAGCATCTTTTCTAAATCTTGTACTTATTCATAAATTTTCTTCAGAAAAATATACTAAACATAAATACAGACACATACATAGATGAACGTAAATTACAATCCAAATCTTCCATTTATTCATCAGTCTTCCTTTAGTCTTATATTTGGCATTTTGTTTTAGATAAAAATCAGTGAATATTCCCTAACGTGTATCACACTGTTTTATGTATGTGAGTGTATGTATGTATATATTCACCCATTTTTTCTAAAGCTGAATGGAAGACATCATTATATATGTTATATATTATGCTGCATTATATATTATTATGTTTATAAGATATCATTATTATATGTCATTATATTATGTATATCATGGATACATTATATGGGCTTCTCAGATGGCGCTAGTGGTAAAGAACCCATCTGCCAATGCAGGAGACATAAATTGTGCAATTCAATCCCTGGGTCAGGAAGATCCCCAGAAGGAGGGCATGGCAACCCACTCCAGTATTCTTGCTTGGAGAATTCCATGGACAGAGGAGCCTGGTGGGCTGCGGTCCATGGGGTCACAAAGAGTCAGACACAACTGAGGCAACTTAGCACAAGGAGTATACATTATATAAAATAAAAATAAGATCAAGTTCACTGCATATCATTTACAACCTGTGATACAAATGATGCTTGTAAATACCCATTTGGCATGGGTAGAAAATTCACATCTCTCTCATTTACTCATCATTTATTAAACAGACATTTACTAAGAAACAACTGTATGCCAGTGACTTTGCCAAAGGCAGTTTTTAATTATGGTGTTGTTTTTAATGATGGCTTTGTCAATGTGCTTAGATGAGGGATTCTTTCAGTTAATCCTGTTTGACTATTTGTATGTGACAGTGAAGATGAAGTATAACCGATGGAACTTTGGAGAACAAAGGTTTGTTTCTCACCTGTCAAATGTGTCTGTTGTGAATGGCCTCCACGTGATTGCCCTGGCACCCAGCATTGGGCAGGGCTTCACTGTGGAGCGTCAGGAGCCTTGCAGAGGAAGGAGCAGAGGGTTAAGGGAAAAGTGAGCTTACTCTGAAGCTTTTGTCCTGAAGCTCAGCCAGCTCTGGCGGCCACACTTCACTGGCCGGAGCAAGGCATGTGGTCGTTTCTAATTTCAGCAGGCTTGGGCATGAATAATGATGAATATTTATCTACCTCAGAGGATTACCCAATGTTTTGTTATTTCCAGACAAAAGCTAAGTCCTAACCAATGCTGCTACAACTGTGAACAGGAAGAACCTTCTCTTTCTAAGAATCACTAATATGTCAATGTCTGTCATAACAGTAGACCTGTTTTTTCTTTTTCTTTTTTAGAGACTTAAGTAACAACAGAATAAGCACTCTCTCTAATCAGAGCTTCAGCAACATGACCCAGCTCCTCACCTTGTGAGTATGACAGTGTGGTACTAAGTTAATTCCTTAATTCACTGGACATTCCTGATGTTCAAAACAGTCTCTGCCCTCCAGGAATGTTAATACTGTTGGGAGAAACAGACAAGTAAAGCCTCAGTAAACAAATATAGATCCTAGAAAAAGTGCTGGGTTCTATGAGAGAAAGCAAAGAATAACTTAGACTTGTGGCAGGGTTGGGAGAAATCCTTAAGATAGACTTCCGGAGGAAGTCACCTTTTGGAGGGCATAGTTGAAACAATAACCAATGACAGCCGTAGGAAGCACTCTAGACTGTATTTTAGAATTGACTGTGTTGTAGTATGAAACAGCACAAAGATTAACAAAATATTATGCATCCGTGCCCTCAATTTTTTTAAGATGCTCAAGTAACCCTTTTCAGTTGCTTTATTTTAAAAATGATATTTGGCCATTTGGGGATATCTGAGTAAAACAAATCGGCCTGTGTGTGCTTTCAGAATTCTTAGTTACAACCGTTTGAGATGTATTCCTCCTCGAACCTTCGATGGACTGAAGTCTCTTCGATTACTGTAAGCATCTTATGTTTAACAAAATACTTTATTTCTTGAGGATCTGGGTCTTTTGTTGCTTTTTAGTAATTTAAGTCCTTTATTTTGGGGATTTTTTGATTATATGCATTAGAATTTACTACAAATTTAGAAATGGAAAATTATATCTTACTGTATCATTTCTCAACAGCTTTTACTTGGGCAACTTAATTTTTGCTTTTGTAATATGTTGTTGCTTTGGTCATTTATTTGATAATATATGAGTTTAAGATATAATTTATATCAGTTCAGTTCAGTTCAGTCACTCAGTCATGTCTGACTCTTTGCAACCCCATGAATCGCAGCACGCCAGGCCTGCCTGTCCATCACCAACTCCCAGAGTTTACTCAAACTCATGCCCATCGAGTCGGTGATGCCATCCAACCATCTCATCCTCTGTCATCCCCTTCTCCTCCTGCCCTCAATCTTTCCCAGCATCAGGGTCTTTTCCAGTGAGTAAGTTCTTTGCATGAGGTGGCCAGAGCATTGGAGTTTCAGCTTCAGCATCAGTCCTTCCAATGAACACCCAGGACTGATCTCCTTTAGGATGGACTGGTTGGATCTCTGCAGTCCAAAGGACTCTCAAGAGTCTTCTCCAACACCACAGTTCAAACGCATCAATTTTTCAGTGCTCAGCTTTCTTCACAGTCCAACTCTCACATCCATACATGACTGCTGGAAAAACCATAGCCTTGACTAGATGGACCTTTCAGAAATAATTTTATATAGATCTAACTAATTTTGAAAAAAATAGGAAATTTTAGTTTCTTTAAAAGTTACATAATACAACACAAAATATTTTTATTATACAAAATTTATCTTACAGTACATGAAATAAAACAGTCTTCTATCCCAATTCTCTCCCCAGAATCGACAGTTAAATAGTTTAATGTTATCTTCTGGTTATTTTTTATATTTGTTTTTACATGTTGATATATTTATGCCCACAGCAATATAACTTAAAAACCATAAACAGGTTTTTTTAAGTCTATCATTGACTTTATTTAGCAATATACTTTAGATTTTAGATTTGCCATTCCATCAAATATAGTATTCCTCAGCTCTTTACCTGCTACAGACTATTTGATAGAATGAAGGAACCATAGCTTATTTAAGTATCCTCATCTTTACTGTCATTGAGTTGATTCCAAATTTTCATTACTTTATACAGTGCTGGAATGAATATCCTACACATCCATCTTACTGTCAAGCATATTAGAAGAACACCAAGAGCTGTCATCTTATTGTCCACCAAACAATTTAAAAATTTATTATTTTAATAGACTACCTATTTCAAATCACTCTTGCAAATATTAAATATTCTAAATCCTTTCATTTTTGTTAAATGACAGATGGAATATTATTTTCCACTCCTCTTTTAATTTGCAATTCCAATTACTAGAGCATTTGAGTATATTGTGTTTATTGAGTGTTTGTGTTTCTTATTCTGTTAGCTTGATGATATTAATTCTCATTTCCTATGGTTACTTTGTCTTTTCCTTATTAACATACCTGCCTTTATGCACTTGACTCTTAAGTTTACAGGTCTTTTTTACAAAGGAATTAATATATTTATAGCTTATGTATGTTTCAGATACTTCCCATTCTGTTTTCTATATGTAATCTTTTTTTAATTGAAATATAGTTGATGTGTTGTATTGGTTTCTTATTGCTGCAAAGTGATTCGGTTATATGTGTGTGTGTGTGTGTGTGTATACTCAAACACACACATACATATATATACGTGTATTTATATATTATTTGTCATTCTTTTCCATTATAGTTTAGTACAAGATTGAAAATAGTTCCCTGTGCTAAGCAGTGGGGCTTGTTTTTTTTATATTATGGATATATTTTACGTTGTTAAAAATATATCACTCTTCTTCATTATGATTTCTGAGTTTTATAACATAGAACTTTAAAAAGCCTTCCATATCCCATGTTTATAAAAAGGAATTCATCTATATTTTACTTTAGTACATTTTCAGTTTTATTTTTGCATTTAACTCTTCCATCTAAAATTTATTATGCATATGATATGAAGTAGGAGCTAACTTTTTGCTTCCCCAAATACTCAGTTGTGTGAAGACTATTTAATATACCATCTTTTCTACACTGATTTTAAATAACTGTTACTGAAAACTCATATATTGGGGACTTTTCTGAATTCCCTGAAATAATAGGAAATTTAACTTTTCTTTTTTGTTGTTTTTAGTTCTTTACATGGAAATGACATTTCTGTTGTGCCTGAAGGTGCTTTCAATGATCTTGCTGCATTATCACACCTGTGAGTATCTATTTCATAAATATGAGTTCAGGGTCAAACTCTCCCTGGCAAGTGAGTTTGGAACAAGTGGTCCCCTGCCATTTTTTTATTGTCACATCATAAAATGTGATTGGGTCCACCTTTAAAGATTTTAAATCTAAATACAGTGCTCTTTACAAGGTAACCTTAATTTATCCTTCTGCTCCTAACTCCTTGTTAGTTGAGTTCTCTTTGCTTATAAAAATATCTTCTCTTACAAACGTGACTCCCCAGCTTCCTGAATGAGTAAATGAATGAATGAAAGTCTCTCAGTTGTGTCTGACTCTTTGCGACCCCATGGCAGGGACCTGCCAGGCTCCTCTGTCCATGGAATTCTCCAGGCAATATTGGAGTGGGTAGCCGTTCCCTTCTCCAGGGCATCTTCCCAGCACTGGGATCCAACCCAGGCCTCCCATATTGCAGGCAGATTCTTTACCATCTGAGCCACCAGGGAACTCCCCCAGCTTCCTAGTATATTCCTTTTCTCTTAATACTCTCTGATTCTAAATATTAGATCACTTTCAATTCAGTCTGCCCAAACCTTGTTTATCCAAGTTACATCCCAATGGTCACCTTCTCCAAGAAGGCCACCCTGGTTTGCTCAAATTAGATTCATTTATTGAGCAAATATTATTCAGCATTAACTGCCATTGTTTAAATGCCCAGTCGTGTCTGACTCTTTTGCAACCCCTTGGATTGAGATTTCCCAGGCAAGACTACTGAAATGGGTTGCCATTTCATTTCTCCAGGGGGTCCTCTGTACCCAGGGAATGAACCTCACCTCTCCTACGTGCGTCTCCTGCACCGCAGGTGGATTCTTTACCATTGAGCCACTGGGAAAGCCTAGCATTGACTATGGTACCACGTAAATTAGAAAATGTTTAGACATTACTGTGTGATAAAGGGAAATGGCCAAATCCTCACATTGGGTGAAATGTTTTTCCTTTGCATTCTTTCTTATAACAGGTTGTTTATACCTCTATATTCTTTGGGAGTACAATAAAACAGTTTATTAATGAAGTCCAAAAAAAATCTCACTTGGATCAAATTCCTCTGTTTCATTACTGTTAGTTGTACTGTTAAGACTGTAGCAAACCTGTGAGGAAGTTCAGAGACCAGCCCTGGAATCCAGAGCTTTGTCAGGCTCAATTTGGTGTCTCCTGGTGACAGTTTAAACATCATTGTCAGTTGGCTCCCGGTTCTCCAGAAGAAGTTGCTATATTTTTTCTTCGGTTTGTCCTCCTCTCCAAAACCTACCAAACTCCAAGAAGATAAGAAGTTCAGATAATTGAGAGAAGGGAATGGGCAGAGAATAGGAGCCAGTAGTCAACTGTGCTACATCTGCATTTCCCTTAGAGAGGCTGTGTTATCAATGTAGGTTTTTGTCCATCTGACTGGTGCTTACTTTCAATACCCCTTACATTAAACTACTAGGTTCCTGGAGGCAAGACCTCCATTTTCTTCACATGTCAGCCCTAGCACCTACCTCAAAGTAGACGTCAGGGCCGCTCCTCTACAAATTCCACTTGCCGCTTGCCTGGGAGTCGCTGTGAATGAGACCCCTGGCTCAGGGGTGCAGGACTGTGGTGCTGTGGCAGAGAGTGCTGACTAAAGGAATGGCCACTCTGCTAGTATTAGACTGCTGAACTGGAAAGGTCTGCCTAGGAAGGTGCTGCTTGCACTATGTGACGTTTCTCCCCAACAGTGAGAGCGACTTGTCATGAGTCTTATTTCGTCATATATTTCATTTCATACAATTGTCTTTTACCCCCTGGGTCATAGAGAGCTCTGCCCCATTCACTTTTCTTACTGTGTCTCTTGGTACAGTAAGGCCTTAAGAAATGTCAGTAGAGATGAGATCTAATAGCTCAAAAACATCATTTTCCTCATTTTTAATTTAGAAGAAAGGTTTGAATCTGAAATACATGTAAGCATAACATTTACTTCACTCCAATTCTTGGCCAGAGTTGGGCATTAAAACAGCTACAATATAAAGTATTGTGGTTTTGTAAGCATATTTTGAAAGTCTCTTCATATAAGAATAATTTTGCATAAACCATATACTTAGAAATATTACTAATTTGAAGTTAATTATAAATCAGAATCAATCAGTTTTTAAATGCTTCTTCATGTGTATACTGTTTGTTCCCAGGCATGGCAAGCTTGTAAACCCATTGGTTAATGTCTGTGGCCTCAGTTTTTCAATCTGTAAAACCGGTTATTAGCAGTATTGATCTCAAACCTCTTCTATTTAGAATAAAATGAGATAAATAATAGAAATGGCTTAGCACAGTTCTTGTATATCACAGCGAAGCAATAAATGCTAGCTATTATCGTGATTATTTTTCCTGTCACTATAGCTGCTTATATGAATAGGCACCAGTTTTTCATTTCCTATTATGAAAAACTTTAAAGGGACAGAGGGAGTTTGAAATCCCTGGGGAGCTTGCTTTATGCACCTTTATTATTTCACACCATCCTTATTTTCTTGTCTCATACTGATCTTTTACTCTGAACCATCCTTTCCAACCTTCTCCACCTACTTGAATCCAAATTCAAGTTCAGACTTAAACCACCAGGCTTCCAGAGAAGTTACCCTCTGTTCAGTTATAAATTCTTCTACTATACCCCTTCTAGTGAAAATTATTTGTAGGTATGAGTTTATGTTACTCTCCTTTGCAGAAGGAGTTTTGGAGGTTAAAAATGATGTATTACTCATAGCGGAGTCCTCAGAACCTGGCATAATGATTGGATTCTAAGTAAATCATTGGTGAATGAAGGAAGTGTTCATCTACACTTGGGGCCTGCCTGCACCTAGTATAAAGCTGTCTGCAAATACAAGGAGACCTTATAAAGCCCGCTAAGTGTTAACACGGGTGACAACTCACTAAATCACAGCAGCACATAAGTGGGAAAAATGGGGAATCCCTAATCCCTGATGCCACCATTTTAATTTTCATCAGCAAATCTATAGGGACTTTTAGTAAGCATCACTGAGTTACGTTCCCTTAGGAAATAACAATACTTCCATATCTGTGTGTGTGTGCGTGTACCTGTGTGTGCTTTTGTGGTGGTGTTTTCCAGAGCAATTGGAGCCAACCCTCTTTACTGTGATTGTAACATGCAGTGGTTATCCGACTGGGTAAAGTCGGAATACAAAGAGCCGGGAATTGCGCGCTGTGCTGGTCCTGGAGAAATGGCAGATAAACTACTTCTCACAACTCCCTCCAAAAAATTTACATGTCAAGGTATGGTTTTTAACCACTTGTCCTTCTGTAAATAAAACTTGATCATATTAATTAAAAAAAATAAACAGAATACCATGGGCCGCTAGGTTGCAGAGGGATAGCTGAAAAACTCCAATAAATAGTTCTCTCCTATACTTGGAGAAGACAGAGCAATTACATGCGGAGACATAGTAAAGATCTAGGCTTTTCAAATAAATTGGGGAAACAATCCATTGGAAACGACAAAGTTTTCTTTAAAAGATAAGGAGAAATAAAGAGTACAAAATTTCTGGAAATTCCTCTCATGGCCTCTAACAAGTGAAATATTCTGCTTTTGCTTTGTCTAACATGTGCCCTGCTGCTAGGGCTTCCAGGGCCCTGTGGCTTCCTGATGCCAGGTAAGGAGGCACAAGCCCTTCCCCACATTCACGCCAGACCTTCTGCCTCACCTTTTGTGCTGCACTCTTCCTATGTTGATGGTGCTGTTTCTTGCTTGTTTGGATCCTTTTATTTTCCCTTTGTTTTATGTACCTGTGAATTCTATACAGTGTCTTAGTAACAAATATTTTCTTCTCCTATTACAAAACTAATCTATGCCCAACATAGAAAATCTAAAGAAAAGGAAAATGGAACAATAAGAGACTAAAGAACTAAATGTAACAATTAAGGACGATGCCAAAAGATAACCAATGTTAAAGTTGTTTTGTGTATCTTTCCACTTTTTCTAATCAAATAAATCTAAATATCACAGCTAAAGAAATAAAAAGAAGATCCTCAGTATTTTGCATTGTTCTTTTTTCTCTAACTTTATTTTTCTCCTTGAATTTATATTTCCAATACCTCGGAGAATTGTATCATTTTTTGCTACAAAAAATTTGTATATAATTTGCATTTTTAAAATTTGCTACCAGTAAATCTATGAGTTTCTAAGTTTTCTTAGAAGTAATTGTTGCCAGTAGTACTTATTGAGATTGGCTGGGCAGCATAGTTATTTATCAGTGTGTTAACATTTATATTCAAAATGTAAATTTTATTGGAAATGCCTCTCTGGGATTATGTGCATTGACTGCAAGAGCCTTTGCAAATAACCAGTGTTTTAAATTATTATTGGTAATTTCTGACATTCCCTTGGGGCAGTGTGCCACAAGGTAAATTTCTGGTGGACTGAGAGTATACCATTTTTTTTAAGGTCAGAGTGGAGATAGGGAATGAGAAACTGGCATAAAGCTTGCTTGTAGACATATTATTGGGCAGAGTAATTCTAGAAGAGCTATATGGGCAAGTTGAGCAACTGCAGACTATTTTTACACTTCTCTGTACCCGGGGATGCTCATACTCCACTCTGAAAACTGCTGGTGTTTATCTATAATTCTAAGCTTAGGATTCCATAGAGATATTTCTTGAAAAAATAATTTCATGATAATGTCAATTTGAGGAAAGCTACATACTTACATTCATTCTTAGAGCATCATAGTTCACATTAATCTATTAAATGTTCTCAGAAATCTGATGAATACAAATGAACATACATGCATAAAATAAATGTCTGTTTGTAACAACTAACTGATTTGACTCTTTTTCCATTAATAGTGTTGTTTGTTCTTAGTATAGCATGAATGGAAATAAGCTATACTAAGGGAACATTGGTCTGGATCAGTAGAGCCTGATAGAACTTTCTTCAGTGATATAAATTTTCTGTACCTGTGCTATCCAAATATGGTAGACACTAGCCACATGTGGTTGTTAAAATGTAGCTAAGGCAACTGAGGAAGTGATTTTTTAATTGTATTTCAATTTAAATGTTGTATATAGCTAATGGCTACCATATTCAGTAGTGCTGTTGCTACAGGGCTCAGAGGAAGATGTCCTTTCAGAGTGGCTATGAAAGGTTTCTTGCAGGAATGTGTAGGCCAGTTGTTTGAACAGGCAGGCAAGTGTAAGGACAGGTCGGAGGACCTGCAGGAGCCCAGCTGCGATACAAGAAAATGTTGGAACTGTGGCATTTTAGTTTACTATTCACTGAGGTATCAAAGTAACACATCACACACATTTCAGGGTATACCTTAAACTGCATAGCCGGACAGCATAGGTATAAAGTCTGTGCAAGAAGCATAAACATTCAAAACTCAATAAATATAGTGTAACTGCATTTAACAAGGTTTTAGATTTACTCGGTTCTTCTGTAACATAATTTTAGAAAGATAGCAAACACTGAAACTCACAATGTTCTTTCCCAACATTGCCCAGTATTTGTCAAAATATTGTGAACCAGTCTCACGTGCTTTGCTAGAAATATTTACTTTACTAATTGGATTGGTAAGGGGCAAAGTATTCTAATCCATTCGTTAAAATAATTAACTCTGGGAAATCTACTGAGTACTATGTTTTTGAGCTTACATGCTTTTATGAGCTTGAAAGTAATAAAATAATGCTGCTTTAAATATTTTATATTTTGTTTTTTTATATTTTAATTTAACTTTTGCCATAGTTATGCCAGTTTAATATGTTTTATTTATTCATGAAAGTCATGTAAGTACATATTCCTAATATTAAAGTTTGTAAATATGTAATTTCAATAGAAAGATGAATATGCTTTATTTGCAAACGTGTTTACATATCTATATTTAAATAGAATTTAAATATTTTCTCTGCTAGAAAACACTGTATTGTTATTTTGAGAAATCAATTCTCTCAATACCATTTTTATCTTACATTTGCAGAGTATTTTCTTTGTGGTATATCATAGTTTTAGTGCACAACAGAAATAAATGAGTTGCTTGAAATACATTATCAGAGTATATTTAATTAAATACCCAGATTAGGACATTCTTTAATGGGAAGCAGATGATCATGACTTGTTGTTATAACCTAGGTGTCCGGTTTTCATCTGTTAAATATCAGATGAAATTAGAGTGCTCAAGCAGAAAATGGAGATTTTGCCCTTTCCAGGTTTTCACTGAAAACACCAGCACGGAATGTAGAATACTGTTAATTTCTAATAGTCCCTTTATTGTTCTTGGTTCAGGAGGCTTTAGCTATACAGGCAACTAAATTGTTCATTTTTAATTTGACATTTATTAAACATTTAAATGTGCTCAAGAGTGAACCATGTGATGATAAATCAGTTCAGTCATGTCCAACTCTTTTCGACCCCCTGGGCTGTAGCCCACCAGGCTGCTCTGTCCATGGAATTCTTCAGGCAAGAATATTGGAGTGGGTTGCCATTTCCCCCTCCAGGGGATGTTCCCAACCCAGGGATCAAACCCGCTTCTCTTATGTCTCCTGCAATGGCAGGTGGATTCTTTACCACTAGCGCCACCTGGGAAGCCACCAAAAAGAATGAACAGTCTAACGTAAACAAGTGGTATATTGCTTCTTTCATTCAACAAATACTACATGAGTTCCTATTATACAACAGGAATGGTTCCAAGATATTAAGAGTACAATAATAAATAGGACAGAAAAACTCTAGCCTTCATGGAGCTTATATTCTACCAATAGATACATTTTAAGGGGTAATTACAGAATAATATGGAAGTTTGGTGGTAGAAACATATATGCAATGTTAATAATGTATATCCAAACCAAACAGTTGTGGAAATGTAACCAATACCACAGATTTCCTCTTTGTGGGCTCCATAATCACTGTGGATGATGACTGCAGCTATGAAATCAGAAGACAGTTGCTTCTTCGGATGGCAGGAAAGCTATGACAAACCTGCATAGTGTGTTGAAAAGCAGAGACATTACTCTGCCGACAAAGGTCCATAGTCAAGGCTATGGTCTTCCCAGTGGTCATGTACGGTTGTGAGAGCTGAACCATAAAGAAGGCAGAACACCAAGGAATTGATGCCTTTGAACTGTGGTGCTGGAGAAGACTCCCGAAAGTCCCTTGGACAGCAAGGAGATCAAACCAGTTAATCTTAAGAGAAATCAACCCTGAATATTCACTGGAAGGACTGATGCTGAAGCTGAAGCTCTAGCATTTTGACCATCTGATGAGCACAAACTCACTGGAAAAGTCCCTGATGCTGGAAAAGCTTGAGGGTAGAAGGAGAAGAGAATGTCAGAGGATGAGATGGCTGGATGGCATCATGGATGCAATGAACATGAACTTGGACAAACTTTGGGACATGGTGAGGGACAGGGAAGCCTGGTGTGCTACAGTCCGTAGGGTCACAAAGAGTCAGACACAACTGGGCAACTGAACAACAGCAAGCAGTACCACCCGGTCCATCAGGGGAACAGGAGACTGGTGTAGTATGTCAAGTAGAACAAGAATGGAACTCAAATCAGGGGAAGCAGCTCCTATGGCCAGGTGTCTGGTAGCCAGGAACCCAGATCAAGAGGCGAGGATCTGACGCTCAGCATATCTCATTACTTATCTGTGAAGATCAGCTAAGGGTCAGGAAGCCTGGGACTGTTTCATATCCCAGAATGACCAATATTCCACCACCACATGGTTGCTCTCTTCTGCTAATTTTGCAAGTTAAGAATGCTCTAGGTTCTGGAATTTCTAGGAAAAACTTCTGCATCTCTCACTAATAATATTGTAATGTTGTCAGGTTTTTTTTTTCCCTCCAGTGAATCAATATCCTTTGTTGGAGGGTGTGTGGGAGGGGATATTCTTAACAAGCTCAAAGTCTTTTATTTTGTGTCTCAAAACTGTTAATTAATATTGACCTTAGTTATTTAAAGTATGAAGGGGATTAAATAATTTAACCCAAACTAGAAGTAATGAAAATTTTAATAGGTCAGTTTTGAAGTAGAATTTAAAACTTTATCAAATTCTTTTTACATTTTCAAATTTAGTATCACTACCACATAGTTATAAATTTGAAATAACCATAGCTGTAGGGGGTTATGATTTTCTCACTGGCTAAAAAAAAAAGTCAGGTCTGTACATAGTTATTTGCCAAAAGCACTGTCTTTAAAAAGCAAAGGCTGTTTTTTTATTATACTTTTTAAAAAACTTCAAACACTGGGGAAAATTTAACAGACATTTATTTTAATAGGAGATGAAACCAATGATTTGTATTCCATTCTTAAATATTGTACTTCCATATTATCTCTGATACAGTAACTCCATAAAATAATCATTGCTCTTTTTCACTTGAGTGTGATTTAAGAAGTTAATTTCCTGACCTAAGTTCACATGTGATTGTAGCAAATGGCCAAGCCCAGGGATCCCAGAGGTGTAATACCCATCTTTGTGTTTTTGTTTAACCATTTATATAACGCACATTTGTAGGATTTTAACCCCCTGTCATTTAGGGACCATCTCTACCCCTTCCTTGAAACTATGGGGATTCCAGTGGGCTCTCTCTTGCCCATTTTAGTAGCTTCTTCTTAGCTTCTTTATTTGCCCTCTTTTCATTGTACACAGTGGTGGACACTGCTGCTGCTGGTACATTCCGTTGTCTCTTCATTCTTTTGCTGACTTATTTTTCTTACCCACCCTTTAATATTAACACAGTGGAGTTCTCTCCGTAGCCCTGACGGCTAATTTCAGTCCCATGGCTTCAAGAATCTAGCCATGACTTTTCTTATGATCTTCAGATTCATATTTCTATTCACCTAGTGAAGTCCTGCCTTGCAGAAACTTAAAACACATATTCCAAAACACGCCTTCCCGTTTTCCACGTTCTCTTAACAACTGCATTCAGTAGCTGATCCATAGAGGTCTCTATTACTGAACTGCTTGTTGGTTGTTCCCAGTGTTAAGTATCCTCTATTTTTTTCCTGAGTTGTCTTTGAAAGGCATCTGACTTTACACACAGGGCAATACTTCCACTGTTTGACTTGTGTATCCAAGGGGTATAGTTCCAAGAGGTTAGAATATAAAAATAAGTGGATTTAAATAAACTAGGTGGATGTAAAAATCACGTTATAAGAAGAACTTTTAGTTAGGTGGAATTATAATCTAAATAAAATAGGAAGAGAAATCATATCATTTTAAGATATTTGGACATATCAGAGGATGCTGCTATTTGGAAATTCTATAATTCACAAACATCTTTTTAACTACCTTTCTTTCCAGCTCAAGAGCTGTAAATAAGAAATTATCTTTGAAGAGTTGATTTTAAAAGAGAGATTTGAAAAAAGGAGAAGCAAATAGGATGGTTGCCAATAGGATGGTAAAGTTGTAATCAACTTTACCAAGCTGAAGAATATGTTCCTAATTCTGATGCCACCAAAACCAAAACAGTTTGTGGTTAAAGAAATCATCAAGAGAAGCCTGTGCATGTGGGAAAGCTCGCTTTGCTGATTCTTGTAGCTAGGCTGAATTTGTCAGGAGAGCAACAAATCTCCTTTCCCATACCCACAAGAAATTGCAGATACTGAAAATAGTTGAGCAGATTTGCTATATAAAAAGCCAAACTTGGTCTTGGAAAAAAGTGAAGAAATTAGATCGTGCTTATTAATCAGATATGGTTCTGTGGATATTTATTAAATAAAGTTTGACTGTGCTAAAATCAGAGCAGAGACTACTTCAGCCTGGATTTTTTTTTTTTTGCTCTTTTATTTTTTAAATGTTTGACCATACCAGATCTTAGTTGCAACATGCAGGATCTTCTTTTTTTTTATTTTTCAGCCTGGCAGTTTTATCATCTGCATACTCTACTAAAATAATTCTTCAAAACTTACCCAGTTTTTTTTTTCCTAAAACAATATCTAGCTTCTCATCTAAATAATCAAACATAATTTTTGAAAAATGTCACATTCCACAGAATAAACTTAGAAACTGCCAACCCTGAATCCCTCCATTCAGACCACAGCCTTTCAAGGTTGAAAGCACATAAATAGACTAAAGACAATTTTCCTTAAGGTCTTGGGAAGTGGCCAGATGAATGTTTACAGTCCTTGCATTTGCTGACTTGAGGTTTTGCTGATGTACGTTCTTAGCTGCTTCATGCTACGCCTTTGTTCCAAGATTCTTCTTTCTTCTAGCCTAGCTCAGGGATCCATTACCATTTATATATTTCCTTTCCTAGTGATGATTCTCAGTGTGATAACTTTAGCAAACACAAAGTCATTTATGTGGTGTGTGACACTAATTTAACTTACTGCTGTAACTTCCACCGTTCACTTCTCCAATGTGCTGAGTAGCTAAGTTCATTTGATAAATACATTTGGAGTGTGAGAAATTAAGTTTCTGTGATGCTCAGTTTGGTATTAATTCCAGGAATTTCTCAACTGTAATTTTAAAATAAGTTTTATTGGAATATAGTTGATTTACAGTTTCAGGTGTACAACAAAGTGAATCAGTTATACATATACATATATACATTCTTTTTTATCTTCTTTCCACATATAGATCATGACAGAGTATTGAATATAGTTCTCTATGCTATACACTAATTCTTAGTAGTTACCTGTTTTATATATAAAACTGTGTCTGTTGATCCCAATCTCCCAATTTATCCCTCTCCCTCCATTCCCCTCTGGCAACTGTAGGAGTGTTGAATACATCTGTGACTATTTCTGTTTTGTGAATAAGTTCATTTGTACCATTTTTTTAGATCCCACATATAAGTGATAGCACTTATATGACTTAACTTCACTCAGTATGACTGTAATTTGATACAGTGACTACATTAGTTATTCTGGTATCAAGAAAAATCAGAGGGGACTCTGGCAAGGCCTCCCCTAATGACTGAGGTATTGCTCAGCACAATCACCACCCCGTTCCATTAACACAGTCCTCCCCAGGACTCATTTATTCCCAAACAGGTGAACAAAAAGCAAAACAGGAAACTGTCTGAGTAAATTTCAGGTGTTTGTTAATAGAAACACTGAAGAATATAGAACACTACCTTTTGGCGTTGTATTCCAAAACCACAATATGAATATGTATTTCTTAGGTTAAGGTTTAGATATGAATAGTTTTAATGGCCGTGATGTTAATTCACATTTTCTTTCATATGAGTTTCTGTAAGTAGACCAACAGCTCACCAGTGTAAAAATTCTATAGAAAAATGTGACTAAAGAAAGTTTATATCAGCAGAAGTCATACAGCTTTTTGAGTGGAGGTACCTTGGAAGGTTACAGCAGTGATAGGAAGGGAGTGGAGAGGGCTTGGATAACTTTGATAGAAATTCTGTATGCTGAAACATGCACTTAGAATTATGACTCTTTGTTCCAATGAGGATAAAGAACTACAGAGATTGATGGTGAAAGCAAAAGTATAGTTTATGTTATACAATATTTGTATTTTCAATATGAAAATGGCACTCCACCAGAGTGTCCTCATCAGACAGTTTCCAAAAGGCAGTCTAGTGAGCGTTCACAAATGGTATGAAAATTATCATCAACTTTATGCAATTTTATTGAGGACAGTACACTATCTACATTGTTAGCCACTTACAGAACAAATAGGTGCAACCAAAGGAAAATAACTTCAATTCAACCTCCATTTAATCTAGAACTTTCATGGACTATGAGAGTTTTTTAATTTGTACCCCAAGAGGTGAGATTGCAAGTAGTGACCTCTTCAGTGGTATTTTTTCCTCAGTGAGAAAGATACAGAAATCTTACCCATCCCGTTCCAATATGCTAACAAAACTAAAAGGACATGAGTAAGGATATACTGGAGGTTTCATTTTTGGTTTATTTTTAAAGTGACACTATTTGTATCTCCTGCAGGAAAATAACAGTCCTGAACTAATCATAGCAGGACAGGTACATACTGTTGCATTTGTAATTACACTAATAAATTTCTGTATATTCATTATACAGAATCCCCCAGCACACACATGGGCACACACGCATGCTTCTTTGGGATCCATGGTGTACCTTTCCATGCAGCTAACAAACAGCTAAGTTGCAAGCACTGGCCATGCAAGCATCCACATAAGCTGTTCAGCTAATGAGGGGACTGACCCTTTGACACTGGTATCGCCAGTGTCAGATCCTAACCACCTAAGTGCACAGCCTAGAGTCCCCCTTGACATCTGAGATTCTCACCATTGTCTCCCAATGAGGCGGCCTCCTATTTTGTTCTTAAAGATGATATGATGGTGCTGACTTCCATAACTTTTGTCATGGAAGATAAATTATTACTTTATAATAATTTTATACAAAATTGTTACTGTATAATAATCTTATACAAAATTTACTGGTACATTAAGACACTGAAATAGTTTTAAGTGAACTGGAAACAAAAAGCATCCTCTTCTCATATTTTTCAATCACCTTTTAGGTCCTGTGGATGTCAATATTCTAGCTAAATGTAATCCCTGCTTATCAAATCCATGTAAAAATGATGGCACCTGTAACAGTGATCCAGTTGACTTTTATCGCTGCACCTGTCCCTATGGTTTCAAGGTGAGTAGAAGCTGTCATGGGAGCCAAGATCTGAAAAAGTAGTTCTCCCTGATGGGTATTTATTATTCGGTTGTGCTTTCTTTATGTGCTGAGAACTATTTTCTTTGCACGCAACTTAACTTGACCATTTCTTCCCCAGGGGCAGGACTGTGATGTTCCAATTCATGCATGCATCAGCAACCCATGTAAACATGGAGGAACTTGCCACTTAAAAGAAGGAGAAAAGGATGGATTCTGGTAGGCCATTAGTCTGTGATCTTCTGTATCTGAAAGATCAAAACAAGAATAAGAAAACATGATTTTTTTATTTTTAAATCCAAGGGCTTTATTTTAAAAAGAATAACAGAAATTCAATTCAAAAGGAAGATATGTATTAGTCCCTCTCATAGATATTAGAGATATTTCAGTATTAAAAACAGGGTCATGGTGGAGACTTCTGACAAAACGTGGTCCACTGGAGAAGGGAATGGCAAACCACTTCAGTATTCTTGCCTTGAGAAACCTATGAACAGTGTGAAAAGACAAAAAGATAGGACTCTGAAAGATGAACTCCCCAGGTCGGTAGGTGCCGAATATGCTATTGGACAAGAGTGGAGAAATAACTCCATAAAGAATGAACAGACGGAGCAAAAGCAAAAACAGTGCCCAGTGGCAGATGTGACTGGTGATGGAAGTAAAGTCTGATGCTAGGAACCTGGAATGTTAGGTTAAGATAACATTGATAACATCAAGATAAATTGGAAGTGGTCAAACAGGAGATGGCAATAGTGAACATTGACATTTTAGGAATCAGTTAACTAAAATGGAGTTGAATGGCTGAATTTAACTCAGATGACCATTATATCTACTACTGTGGGCAAGAATCCATTAGAATAAATGGAGTAGCCCTTATAGTCAGCAAAAGAGCCCAAAATGAAGTACCTGGATGCAATCTGAAAAATGACAGAATGATCTCTGTTCATTTCCAAGGCAAACCATTCAACATCACAATAATCCAAGTCTATGCCCCAACCAGTATTGCTGAAGAAGCTGAAGTTGAATGGTTGTATGAAGACCTACAAGACCTTCTTGAACAAACACCAAAAAAAAGATGTTCTTTTCATTATAGGGGACTGGAATGCAAAAGTAGGAAGTCAAGAGATACCTGGAGTAGCAGGCAAATTTGGCCTTGGAGTACAACATAAAGCAGGGCAACGGCTAACAGATTTTGCCAAGAGAATGCACTGGTCGTAGCAAACACCCTCTTCCAACAACGTAAGAGAAGACTCTATGCATGGACATCACCAGATGGTCAACACCGAAATCAGATTGATTATATTCTTTGCAGCCAACAATGGAGAAGCTCTATACAGTCAGCAAAAACAAGAGCGGGTGCTGGCTATGGCTCAGATCATGAACTCCTTATTGCCAAATTCAGACTTAAATTGAAGAAAGTAGGGAAAACCACTAGACCATTCAGGTATGACCTAAATCAAATCCCTTACGATTATATAGTGGAAGTGACAAATAGATTCAAGGGATTAGATCTGATAAACAGAGTGCCTGAAGAACTATGGGCGGAGGTTTGTGGCATTGTGTAGGAGGCAGTGATCAAGATCATCCCCAAGAAAAAGAAAGGCAAAATGGTTGTCTGAGGAGGTCTTACAAATAGCTGATAAAAGAAAAATGAAAGACAAAGGAGAAAAGGAAAGATAGAGCATTTGAATGCAAAGTTCCAAAGAATAGCAAGGAGCGATAATGAAAGCCTTCCTCAGTGATCAATGCAGAGATAGAGGAAAACAATAGAATAGGAAAGACTAGAGATCTCTTCAAGAAGATTAGAGATACCAAGGGAACATTCCATGCAAAGATGGGCACAACAAAGGACAGAAATGGTATGGATCTGACAGAAGCAGAAGATATTAAGAGGTGGCAAGAATACACAGAAGAACTGTACAAAAAAGATCTTCACGACCCAGATAACCATGATAGTGTGATCATATACCTAGAGCCAAACATCCTGGAATGTGAAGTCAAGTGGGCCCTAGGAAACATCATTATGAACAAAGCTACTGGAAATGATGGAATGCCAGTTGAGCTATTTCAAATCCTAAAAGATTATGCTGTGAAAGTGCTGCACTCAAATATACCAGCAAATTTGGAAAACTCAGCAGTGGCCACAGGTCTGGGAAAGGCCAGTTTTCATTCCCCAAAGAAGCAGTGTCAAAGAAGGTTCAAACTACTGCACAATTGCACTCACCTCACAAGCTAGCAAAATAATGTTCAAAATTCTCCAAGCCAGTCTTCAACAGTATGTGAACCGTGAACTCCCAGATGTTCAAGCTGGATTTAGAAAAGGCAGAGGAACCAGAGATCAAATTGCCAACATCCATTGGATCATTGAAAAAACAAGAGAGTTCCAGAAAAACATCTATTTATTCTTTATTGACTATGCCAAAGCCATTGACTGTGTGGACCACAACAAATTGAAAAATTCTTCAAGAGATGGGAATACCAGACCTTGTTACCTGCCTCCTGAGAAATCTGTATGCAGGTCAAGAAGCAACAGTTAGAACCGAACATGGAACAACAAACTGGTTCAAAATCAGGAAAGGACTACATCAAGGCTGTATATTGTCATCCTGCTTATCTAATTTATATGCAGAGTACATCATGCAAAGTGTCGGGCTGGATGTAGCACAAGCTGGAATCAAGATTGCCAGTAGAAATATCAATAACCTTTGTGTAAAGATACACAAATGACAAAAAGTGAAGAAGAATTAAAGAGCCTCTTGATGAAAGTGAAAGAGGTGAGTGAAAAAGTTAGCTTAAAACTCAACATCCAGAAAACTAAGATCATGGCATCCAGTCCCATCACTGCATGGCAAATAGATGGGGAAACAATGGAAACAGAGAGAGACTTTATTTTCTGGAGCTCCAAAATCACTGCAGATTGTGACTGCAGCCATGAAATTAAAAGACGCTTGCTCCTTGGAAGAAAAGCTATGAGCAACCTAGACAGCATATTAAAAAGCAGAGACATTACTTTGTCAACAAAGGTCCATCTAGTCAAGGCTATGGTTTTTCCAGTGGTCATGTATGGATGTGAGAGTTGGACTATAAAGAAAGCTGAGCACCAAGTAATTGTTTCTTTTGAATTGTGGTGTTGGAGAAGACTCTTTGAGAGTCCCTTGGACTGCAAGGAGATCCAACTAGTCCATCCTATAGGAATCAGTCCTGAACATTCATTGGAAGAACTAATGCTGAAGCTGAAACTACAATGCTTTGACCACCTGATGCAAAGAACAAACTCTTTGAAAAAGACCCTGATGCTGGGCAAGATTGAAGGGAGGAGGAAAAGGGGACAACAGAGGATGAGATGGTTGGATGGTATCACCAACTCGATGGACGTGAGTTTGAGAAAGCTCCGGAAGTTGGTGATGGACAGGGAAGCCTGATGTGCTGCAGTCCATGGGGTTGCCAAGAGTCAGACACATCTGAGAGAATGAACTGAACTGAAAAACAGAGACATTGCGGTATCCTCAGGGAGTGCGTGCTAAGTCACTTCAGTCATGTACGCCTCTATGTGACCCTATGGTTAGTAGCCTGACAGGCTTCTCTCGATGGAATTCTCCAGGGCAGAATGCTAGGGTGCATAGTCATTCCCTTCTCCAGAGGATCTTCCCTACATAGGGATCAAAGCCGCATCTCTTGCATTGACATGTGGGTTCTTCACCCACATGGGAAATCCCATTCTCAGATTAGGATGCTACAAAACCAAGCAATTTAAAAACACATGTGTGCATTATATTAATCAAGTCAAATTAGGTCAGGACAAAGTAGCAGCTCTATTGTGCTAATTTTCAGCCATGCAGTCCCCTACTGCAAAGCATATATTCATCTGTTGTATATTGTGTGTTCCTTTAAAACAGACAGTGTGTAATGATAAGACGTAGATCCCACTGAAACAGAAAATTAATGATTCATTTCCAAGCGTCAATATGAGTAGACAGACATGCTGTGAACATTTTTAATCTGGAGTTGTTTAATCTTACAGTACAATTACTTCAGATCTACTTCATGAATCATGAAACAGAGTTCTTATAATGACACTAATGATTTCACATAAGAATGCTAATCTACTACTAAAGCTTATTAGAAATATCACTTTTTATAATACATATGTTGGCTTCCCTAGCTCAGCTGGTAAAGAATCTGCCTGCAATACAGGAGACTTGGGATTGATCCCTGGTTTGGGAAGATCCCCTGGAGAAGGGAATGACTACCCACTCCAGTATTCTGGCTTGGAGAATTCCATGGACTCTATAGTCCATGGGGTCGCAAAGAGCCGTATAGGACTGAGAAACTTTCACTTAATAATACATATGCTTCATTTCTACATTTTGTTATGAAGTTGTCTCTTTCTCATCAAAACTTTACCCATAGATTATTCTGATACCTAGCAAGATTAAAGGTACAATGTTTTATGCCAGTGGAGGAAAAATTGTATTTGTCAAGGCTTAAAGAGAATATTCACATTTTGTAATAACAAAGAAGACAAAGTTTTATTTTCAGGTTTCTTTTTTTGCTTTGAGACATAAAGAACATTAGATGTAGGGTAGAAAGTTGTAATTTTTAAAAAGTCAGAATCATTCCTCCTTATTTATGAGCAAAGAAGCATGAGTTATTTTATTAGAGTACAACTCAAGATTAAGTTATCTAAGGCTGTAAACTTTGCTCATGTTTTAGACCTGCGAATGTATTGGATTTATTGACTTATAGGACAAGGGGGCCATTTGCCATCTTGTAGCCAGCATAAATTTTCTTTCTAAAATTGTTTCTGATTTGGGGAATAGTCCTTTAAATTGATGCTTATACCATGTCCTTTAAAAGCATTTTAAAAATCAATTTCCTGTCGTTAAAAGCTCTGTAACTGATGAGTATATTTAGTTTTTTCAATATTTAGACCATATGGTTTGAAAATGCAGGAAGATTTCTTTTATGTTTTCTTCCCCTGGTGTTCAGGTGTATTTGCGCTGATGGATTTGAAGGAGAAAATTGTGAAATCAATGTTGATGACTGTGAAGATAATGACTGTGAAAATAACTCTACATGTGTCGATGGAATTAATAACTACACATGCCTTTGCCCACCTGAGTACACAGGTAGGAAAAGGGAGATTGCTATGCCATCAGTCTGCGTTTGAAAGCACCACCGGAGCTATGCTGCGTGTGTGTAGTAAACCATCGTATTATTCAATAACTGATTCGTGTTTTGGAAATTAGGTGTATTGTAATAACAGAGGTAAAGATGGTTTCAGCCAACCAAATAAAAGTCCTGGCAAGCTCAGTTATAACACAGGCATCTTCATAAAGTAATGCTTTCCAGCACAAAGAAAATTATCATACTGAAGCTTTCAGTCCCACAACTGAGTGACATTTTCATGCAAAGCACTTTTCCTGTGCAGGCCAACCCACCAATATGTATTTGAAAAGGGAGCCTTTCTTTACCTGGACAAAACAGAATTAAGCATTTGAAATTCTTCATGTCTATATTTGTTTCTTCAGTAGAGAGTGTTTGCCTTTAGAACTCTCATCCTTCAAACTAAGCCACAGTCAAGAATATATACATTGAAAAAAAAAAAAGAATATATACATTGATCACTTTGGATAATCTTATCAGACCGTTATCTCCCCTTCCCCCTTTTTTTCTATCTTGATACAAAATGTCAGGAATAAGGGTGATAAATCTCATAAGACTATCGAAACTGATAAACTTCTGCCCTGGATAAACCAATTTGCTGTAAAGTCAACATCAAGTTTATGACTTACTTATTCTGTCAGAATGTCTGTTTTGATTGATTTTTGTGGCTCTGAGTAAGAAACTTCATAGTTTCAATCTTGTTTCATTTAGTTTAAAGTTGATAGAGAAAAGGAAAATGTTTAATGTTTTATTTGTAAGAAATAAATGGAGTAGTAGATTCTGTCACTCTATTCAGAGTTACCATTTTCATTTGGCTGGGTATTTTTCATTAATTGTATTTATTTCCACATATATATAATTAAGAATATAAGAGGGTAAAATAATTCCTTGGATGACTGAGGTTAACATCTCTAAACATGAAAAATGGAAGCACAGCTGTATGATTAATTTTCCCAGGGATTCTTTAGAAAAGCATTGAAATTTAAGCTTTTATGGCATACTCAAGCTTTGCAATTTAAGAGGTACTTTTCTTGATGGGAAAAAATGCTAAATAGAATAATGAGTTTTTGTTTTGACATCCTGGGTCTGTCTGAGAAATTCTGCAGCTGCCTTTTCCATGGTATGATTTATTTTTCACAACAGTGAAGTACCTGATGCCATAATGACGTAATAATACTGTTTCCAGTAGAAATTTGAACATGTTGTATCACCAATTGCTCTATTACATATAAGCAGCCCATGAACTCCTTAGTGGCCAGAATTTGAATTCTTTGTTATGTTACATTAATTAAAGATACTGAGTCAGTCTAACATACACCCATTCTAACGTGGCTAGAAAGAGTTTAGGTGTTACAAAGCTTTGACATTCATATCAGTATTACCTATGTCACACCTCAGGTACTTGCCATTCATATGAGTGCACAAATTCTGAAGCCCTTGGAGTTATTCTGAGATTGTGAGTTTTATTGAATTGGGGAATCCAGCCTTGTACAGGCAGCCCAGTGCTTGCACTAAAATCTGGAGCTAGTACCTTCTTAGAATACTTATTTTATCCCATCATTGTTCTGATCATTATAGAAAAAGCTTAATTCCCTTAATGTCAGAGCCCTCCTTAAACTATCCTACTCTGATGAGGACAAATTGGACCTGAGAATTTCAAGAACGGTTTGGTTAGCCAATGTGTTCCTGAGCACAGACGCCATGAATTTTTCTATATTCCCTTACCAATGAAAACCTAGGCCTGACAACACTACTGCATTCAGGTTCCCACATGCCTTTTTCATGGTGATTTACATGAAGTAGCAGTTTCTTCTGAATTGGTTCCCATGGGTCCAGCTTTGGCTTTAGATTTGCTATGTTATTCTGTATCCACTTCTTTGAGTCTTTGTTTTTACCTTCTCTTCCTTCCTTTTCCCAGGCTCCCTTCCTATACCTGATCTTCTTGAATGTTTTCTCCACCTTAAAGTGATCCAGTTCAGTGCAGCTTCCTCTGAGAACTTATTACAAAGCTTCATTTCCCTGCTGTCAGATCTTTCTTTGAGACATATGCAAAAAAAAACTCCAAAGCTTAGCACAAACACTTTTGAACCAAAATGTGGCATCTCAAAAAGCTATGATATGGGAACCTGCCCAATAGTCAAGAGCTATTTGGTGCTTAATAAGAATTGAGACTCTTCTGTTTTTTTTTTGTTTCTTTTCTTGTTCTGGTCTTATCTACTGCTAATATCAATTTGCCTTAATACAGGCTAAGAATAAATAAAAATATTGCATTCAATAGAAAGTTCATAGCATACAAAACATGAATCTATGATCACTGTAACTGTGGGTTAGATTTTGTGGGAAGTGAAGAGTTTTGCAAATTGGCATTGGAGCAGGTACCTAAACCAGGCAATGTTTGTATCTCATCTACTAGCTGTAGCATTTTTGTCTGTATGTGAAATGAGCTCATTTACAAAATATCAAGCAACCATCTGCAGATTTTGAAATCAGTGGCACATAAGTGGCCTTTAATTATAGGAAGGTATAAATTGGACTCCAGAGCTTTATCCAAGTCTGCTTCATCCAAGTCTGCAGTTAAGGAGGCATTTCCTTATATTGTGACTGCACTGTTTGAGATTTAAGTTTGGAATCTGATTAATGAGGCTGAGATCTTGGAACAGAAACCCTACTGTGCTCAGGGAATATAATAATGTTGTCATTGTTTAAAAATCATTCAAGTTGCAAGTTGCTTTACTGCTTGGAGACTTTTTTACTCTATCTCTCTGAGGCATTCAATGAGAAAATGAACTCTTTAGTAGGAGCAAATAAGACTTCATAGGGAAAGCTCGTAAATTACTATGGTGAAAATGTTTACATTTAGCACACACGTCAAGAATCAAAATGGATATGATTTGTTAACAGAGAAAATTCAGAGATCTGAAAGCAGTCTCAGAACGAGGTCATGATGTGATGAGCAGGCTATAAAACATGGCTACCCATTTTCAAATTAAATGAACCACTATTGTGAAATTTATTAAATATATCTAAGCCCATGTAACCAAAATACCACAGTACATAGTTATTGATTTATTAGAGGACAAAACTCTGTCCTACTTCAGAGATTGATAACATAAATTTTAAGAGTCAACATTGTCTGTTATGTAACCCTTACTGTCCCTTCCCCACCCAAGTCCTCCAAACCATTCTTTTCTACTTAATTTGATCCATCGTCTGTCCTATGTATAGCATATGACTGTTGATTGCTAGGATTCTTAAGACAAGATTAATCTTTGAAAAGTTTTAATTCACTGTGACTCTAAATTAAAATGACTGTGTTAAGGATTAAGTAAGACTCTGAAATGGCTAAACAAATAATTTAAAAATCCACTCCAGGATTTCAATATTAGCTTGAGAGTTGTGTTTTTTCTTGTGGTTTATCATTTTCTAAAAGCTCTTATTATATCCTTTCTAAAAACGAGGCATTTCTTGAAAGTGAATCATCAAAGAATTCCTCAAATTACACTAGCTCAAAAGTTATAAAAATGAACATTGTAAACATGGCACCCTTGAGATGTTGAAAAACTTGACACCTTTTCTTAAATAATCTCTCATATGAATTCAGGTGTTGCATTGAAAAATGTGGTTTTGCATGTTTCCTAAGAGGCAAAACCCTGTATCTGCTCTGAGCCTGTTAATTTACCCTCTTCTCATAGGACCATATACAAAGTTGAAACGAAATTGATCACTTTTTAACCATGGATATTGCTTGATGGGAATGGCATACGTTCAGTAAAGGAAAGTTTCCATACAAGTTGGGCATGTAAAGACTTAGAATGTATTTTGCAGAAAAAATTCAGAACATTTTAATTTTTCCATTATCTCTTTGTTTTCCAAATTTCCAATGCCCACACACAAACCATATGTGCACATCTTACAAGTAAAGCTGCCTGTTGTTAACTCGCCTGGTTTAGCTGAGATCTCTCGCTCCCTGTGATGGCGTCTGCCTTTTGCCTCATTTTCTCCTTGTTTGTGCGTTTGGCCCGGCTCTAGGTAAGAAATGTAAGCCTTGCTTCCGTTTGCTGTCTCACCCTGGGCTTCTCTGTTGTTAATGCTGTGCCTTGGCTTCCTGTGCCCTGCTGTGTACCGCAATGTAAAACGTCTTTTGTCTCTTCTGTCTTTGTTGCTGCCAGCTGCTAATCTGAATGAGGTGGAAAAAGGTTAGTTGCCTTTTAAGTCTATTATGATTTTATTTTAGTTTCCCTCTTTCTTTTAAAGCTACATAGATTTCATGGTGTGTACATGGTAAAAGGAATGTTGACTAAAATGAAATCTGATATGAATATGTCAAATCAGTCATACAGATCCTTGATATGTGGATAGCTATACCAAACACTTACAAAAGGGTGTCTGAAATGCACTTTGCCAATTTCTGGGAGGCCGCAAAAGAAACTCTCTGAGTGGGCAGAAGTGGCAAAAAAGAAAGACTAATGCTTTCTAGTTTCTTCTTGTCTGTATGCTTTTCCTTTTTTAAAGACATTCCAAATATATTATTTTTATCATGAAAAATGTAAGTTAATTAGTGCAGTAGGTAGACTGTAGGTAGAAAAAATGTTAAATAGTGAGAATTTTCCCATAATTTTAAATTAATATCTTCAGTATTTTGAAACATGAAAAATATTAAAAGGTGTATACCTTTATTAAAACATTTTATAAGATAAAAATTACAAAGCCCAAGAAGTTGTTTTTTTTTTAAATGATGTCAAACTCATAGAATGTCACTTGCACTAGGCAGTATTTTTAAAGCATAAAAAGATCATATTCAATCCTTGGCATTTATAGTCTGTATGATTTTCCAAATATATCAGGGTCTGGGAAGGGAAGTCCTGCAGTGACAAGGTTGATCAACATGTCCTGGGAGTCATCATGTAATCTTTTTTGAGTTTTTATCTTAGAAATTCAGAATTATACCTAATAATATTGTATT